TTTTAAGAAGGTCCAATGGGCACCAAAAAAGAGGTCCAATGGGCACATTGAATATAAAACTTTTTAAGAAGGTCCAATGGACACCAAAAAAGAGGTCCAATGGGCACTTTTTGCTTTTGGGTCGAATCTTGAGGGTCCAACGGGTACTAGACCGTTGGGTAAATGGTAAATGGGCTTCAAAAAGATGGAAGTTTCCGTTTTTTCAGTAAAGCTAAAATGTGAACAACCTTATGTAGCGCGTGGCGGAAATCTGATCGAATTTTAGGAAACCGTATTATATAATGTTTTACTCTTTCCAACTTATTGTAAATTATAGCGTTCCGTTTAGTGAGGAGATTTCACGTACATAATAATCCCCATTTCAACATTTATTCACCAGCAGCTGTCAATGTCTTGGTTTGCATAGCACTAATACGAAATGTACTTTAGAGATAAGAAAAGAATATGTATTACTATTATTACTCGAGGAGCTCGATTGCTCAAGTGGTTAGCGCGTTCGGCTGCGATCGTTGAAGTTAAGCAACTGTCGTTGTGGTCGGTCATTGGATGGGTGACCAAACATTTACTATCTCGAGTTCCTCCGTGCTTCGGAAGGCACTGCTGCATCTGCAGTCGTTCGCACCCACCAATCCGCACTGGGGCGCGTGGTGGGTCATGGCCCAATCTCTCTATTCCATCCACAGGGAAGGCCTATGCCCCAGCAGTGGGGACATTAATAGGCTGATGATGATGATGATGATGTATTACTCGTTTTTTGTGGTTTTGTTTTAACAGAATCAGTTTTATTGTCTTAATGCATGCAAGTGCATTGACTAGTTGTGGTCATGTGCGCTAAAGCATACAGCCAACGATATTGAATTTCTTACTAATAATTAAATCATACTTCAAAACCATACTTCTGTGGAACGAACTCCCTCTGGATATCAGAATGTCCACCAACAAAATCAGCTTCAAAACCAAGCTACGAAGCTTTTTACAGGAACAAGCATTCTAGCCTAAACGTTAGTCGTCATTATTATGTATTTGTTTAGTATGTATGTTTATATAATATGTATATATGTATGTATATGTGAATTTATATGTATGTTTATTTATATGTAAGTACTTATTTATGTATGTGTAATTATATTTTTGACGACCTCCGTGGTCGAGTGGTTTGTACGCCGGATTTCATGGTGTCGCCGACTCGAGAGGTCCCGGGTTCAAATCCCGGTGGGGACAGATCTTTGTGTGATGAATACGAGCATTTGTACTCCAGTCATGAATGTTTAATATGTATTTCTATAAAAAAAAAATGGGTGCGTGTACTTATGTAGGCGCGTGAGAAGTTATCCTTCTTTGGCATCGTTTAAAATTAGTTTTTAATTGCATGCAATTAATTAATTACAATAAATTAATAAAAAGTCTGGAAAAGGACACAGTCAATAAAGTTCAGTTTTAATTTGAAAAAATAAATAAATAATCAAAATATTCAATTAAAATCGCTACTGAATATAATTTATTAGAACATATGTGATTTGCACTTGTATGAAACTCAAACACGTATTCCGAATATACAAACTAGAAACATGTGGATAAATATTATAAATATGAATACCTGTAACTGTTACTTTATTACAAAAAATAAAGATGTGGTTTTTGGTTCTACTACACCAATGGTCAAGAGATGGCGCTGTAGTCTCCGCGTAGTCTCCGCGCGCTTTGGTTCCGTTGTTCCAGATTAATAAATACTTTTGATAGGCCTTCACAATGCAGTCGTTAGCACCCACTAAATAGAGATTCTATTTCTATTTTGTTGGTAGATTTTCTTAATGTGCGGTAAACACAAAAGTAACAGCATGAAGTAACAGACCAACTTCATGCTGTTAAAATTTCGTGTTACAGTGATGCGCGCGCATCTTAAAATTTCACTCTCATCATTTTTTCATAACGCGCCTAAAGAAGTATAACTTCAAAAATATATACTTATATATGTACAGTTTATGTATTCTATCCGTTACCCTAGTATCCCATAACACAAGCCTTATAGTGCTCACTTTGGGGCTAGGCTAATTGGTGTGAGTGTTGGAAATATTTATTTATTTATTATTTATTTATGTATATGACTACTTCGTATTTATATCTGTTCGTCTTTTTTTCCATCTAATTTGTGCACCCTACCACTGTTTATCCACAACACTCTATGGTTGACTGGTAGAGAATGCCTATGGCATTAAGTCCGCTTTTGTACATTTGTGAATTAAGTATGAATAAAATAAAAAAATAAAATAAATATAATTTAATATCGTTGCGTACAGTCTCGAGTTAATCGGTGCAGTAGCCTCGTGATACAATTTCAGTTGAAATATCATTTGACAACCGCATGTAACAATAGTGTTTCGCACGCAGACATTTTGTGAGCTCTGAAATACTACACAAACAAACACACAATTTATTTTACGACCACGAATTCAAGTGTCATATCACTTTTGACTTTTAGTGAGTGAAACCATTGAGGAGTTCGATAGCATGAGTGGTAATAAATTTGGCCTTTGATCATCGAAGTTAAGCAACTTTCGCAATGGCCGGTCAACGGATGGGTGACCAAAACAAACTTTTAACAAAGATTGATCTCCTCCGTGCTTCGGAAGGCGCGTTGAGCCGTCGGTTTCGGCTGCATTTACAGTCGGAAACAGGCATTTTTCCGCACTATGCCCGCGTGGTGGGTCATGGCCCAATCACCCTATTCCATCCACAGAGAAGGCCTGTGCCTCAGCAGTGAGTACATTAAAAGCTGATGATGATAATGAACACAAGTTCAACGAGAGACCATAAAAGACAATATAAATACAACTTAATAATTTTCTTTAATTCAGTTGACTGTATGATAATGGTTGCAGTACTTGTTCACGTGTTGACTACGTAGGCACTGCTTACGTAAATAACACACTCGTGTATAACATTCTGACACATATTTTAATAATGCTAACAAAGTAATAAGACTGGAAGGAAAAGAAAAATTCATTTCTGGGTTGTATTATTGCATTGTTCAATAAAGTTCCCCTAGATCTGATTGAGCTTCCACTGACTAAATTTAAATCTCAGATCAAAAATACTGTTATGAATAAGGGCTATTATAAAGTTATTTAATGGGTATTAGTCATTTTTCATAACAGTAATATTGTACCTATCTAATGCCGCTTCCTTTATACTAAATATAAAGTTAACTATAAAATTTATTTTAACTATATATTTATATTCTAAATGATGTAATGGAAGGTGACTTAAGACGTATCTCTGAAGTCATTTTTCAACTTGACGACTCTGTACATAACAATACAGGGATAAAAAATATCCCTTGCTGAGTTTCTTGCCGGTTATTCTAAGTACAAGGTCTCCCGCCGTAGTTATGCGAACCGATGGCGTAGCTTCTTGACCTTCACAAGTGCTTGTAATAGCCTAGACTTAATAAATGACTTTTCATTTCATTTCATATTTCCCATGCAAATTGTTAATCTATCAATGAAGAGCACTGTTTTGTTAGAAACTTGTGCGATCTGTGCTGATAACGTGTTTCAAATGTTTACAGAGATCAGTACATGTAGCATATTATGTAATTTAGGTGAAACTATTAGAATTATAGCTGCGTGATGCATAGTAGATCATGAGTCATGACCCAATCCTATCCCTTCCATAAGGAAGGCCTGATCCCCAAAAGTCAAAGTCATTATATTGTTTTAAACTTTCATGGTCACTAACATTATATATATTGTTACGCAAAAGTCAGCCATCGCGGAACATTTAATTGATTCGGGTCCAAATCACTGGATTGAGTTCCATAATCCACAAATTATCTCGACAGAACGCCACTACATACCAAGATTGGTCAGGGAAGCGATTGAAATAACCGAACACAAGAATTTCAATCGTGAGGATGGGTTTAATTGTCTAGTGTGTGGAATCCAGTGGTTCGTATGTGTAAAAACCGCAAACATCAAAAAAGTGTCGTTCCGCGATCTAATACTGTAAGTATTGTGTGCCGGGAACAAATGCGAGTGAATAGTGAGAATGTGACCAGTGGTAGGGGTATCGAACGCAGTAAAAGACGACGTCAGAGGGTAGACCGATATGTCTGCCAATAACATCTACCTGCAATTACTTCAGTTACTCCGTGATCATGGTGCTTGCAACAGTGCCGAAATATCTGAGACTCATATAAAAAAAAGGTACATGGTAACAATCCCGTTATTAACTATAAAAAAATCAAAGTCATTATTCAAATTGGATGCATAGAAAAATAAAATTGACATTTTTTCCCTACCACTAGTTATTGAACATAAATATCGAACAATCTCTACAACATTAAAAGGACAATGTAACAACATTAACAAATCAAGAAGTAGAAACATTAGATGATGACAATGATGTGATGTGATTTACTTGTGGTGAGAGGAAATGAGAAATTATATCAATAAAAATTATCTCAAAGTAATCAAATAAATAATTTTGCCCAGACAAGCAGAAGAAAGGGAGGAATCAAAACGCATAGACAAAATGCAGACAGGTAACTATTCTACAGCGCCCAAAGGCAGCAAATACAACTCGTGTTCACCCGACTGGTAGATTTCTTATTTAATCATAATCTATAAAATTAATGGCAAAAAAGTTACGGGACTGGTTAATAAGTAAATGTTTTTATAGTACAAATGAATTTTTATTATGAATTAATAATTGTAATTTTGATGACATAATGAAGAAATGGCTATTGACTTAAAAAAATGACATGTATTATATGATTATTATGTGTAATATAATGTATAGTTATTATGACATTTGGAATGCAACTATAACTCAATTTAAATTTGAATTTTTAGATATTTTATTAGTATTTTGTATGCTCTTTCAAGGGCGAAACATATGGAACTTTTTAATATTGTTTATCAGCTGTAACAAACTATGTTTCATGCAAATAAACTTTCATTTCTTTCTTTCTTTCTATAAATTAATTCAATAATACTCACTTCGTCGTCCTCAATAAGTGTCGCAACTCGACCAGGCTGAAACAAAAGAATCAAAAGTGAATAAAGTTAAAAAGCTTTTTATTTATCACTAAGATTATAAAAAAGCCATTTTTAATTCTTGGCATGACGCTCGACGCGTGCGCGTGAGTGAGTCCTGAGTGTGTAACGTATGTACTTACGACGCAAAATGTATTTTCGTATGTTCTGAAATACCGCGATCCCGTGAATGCTTTCATATTCTACGCATCTGATGGAACCAGTTACATCTGGTTAGGTGAACGAACTTGTTTTAAATGAAATTTAGGCTATTCGGTCAAGAAATACCACAGTATTTATACACAAGGACTAGTGGCGGATGTTTGAATAAGTCATTACAACTTATCCATAACATATGAGCATTTGTAGCTAAGTCATGGTGGTTTATATACCTATGTGTCTTTGTCAAGTTCCATGAAAAGTTGTCTTACTGATTGTTAGAACTGCATGAAAATCTTGTGTTACAATCGTTTATATATTTTATAATGTCTCGAGCGACTAAATTTCATCATCATTATCATCATCAGCCTATTAATGTCCCCACTGATGGGGCACAGGCCTTCCCTTTGGATGGAATAGGGAGATTGGGCCTTGACCCACCACGCGGGCCCAGTGCGGATTGGTGGGTGTTAACGACTGCATATACAGCCGGGACCAACGGCTTAACGTGCCTTCCGAAGCACGGAGGAGCTCGAGATAGTAAATTTTTGGTCACCCATCCAATGACCGACCACTGCGAAAGTTGCTTAACTTCAACGTTTGCAGCCGAACGCGCCAACCACTTGCGTCATCGAGCTCCTCTGCGTCATCGAGCTCCTCGACTAAATTTATGTGTTGACAATGGAATATAAAATACCATCCTGATTTATGAATTCCCTTGTGGTTTCTAGAGGAATCTTTCTCGCGACATTATCGAAGATAAGAAAAAAATGTTAGGTATCCAATTTCGAGCAGTCTTTTACAGATTATGCGTGTCCAGAAAAACAAAGTTACTAATTTTGTTTATATAGATGAAAGGATTATTTTATTGTTTAAATTACAGAACCAGGAAAGGCCTCATTAAAATTATAACAAAAGACAATCATGAAACAAAAATATGGATACAGCTGCACTTACAGCAATACTCATCTGATTAAATACTCTGTGCTCATTGCTTGGAGTGTGCTCATTGTACATACATTATTTTTATTTATCTTTACTCAATTTAATCAGTTCATTGCCATTATGGATTTATCTACATCGGCACATTAAGTGTCTACGTTTATCGACTCATTTATATATATTTTTTTTGCAACGCAATACAATTCTGATATTCAGGTTTACTTTCGAGTTATTCACTAACTGTAAAAGTACTATATTATTTAAACACACAAAATAGATTAAAACTACTAAATAAACTAAATACTTATCTCAAACCAAAAATAAATCTATTTTGACGACCTCCGTGGCCGAGTGGTTTGTACGCCGGGTTTCATGGCGTTGCCGACTCGAGAGGTCCCGGGTTCGAATCCCGGTGGGGGCAGATGTTTGTATGATGAAATGAGCATTTGTACTCTAGTCATGGATGTTTCATATGTATTTCTATATAAATATACTTATATATGTACAGTATATATATGTATTCTATCAGTTACCCTAGCATCCCATAACACAAGCCTTATAGTGCTTACTTTGGGTCTAGGCTAATTGGTGTGTGTTGGAAATATTTATTATTTATAATATGTAAAAAATCGACCCCAAATCGCTGCGCTCGCAGGGTAGGCGACAGCCGAAACCAATAAAAGGCGTAAATATGGGGCGTTGGGAGAGCCGTATATATTTGCGCCGTGGAGACCTTGGAGCCTTGGGGTGCGGAAGCCCGTGAGCTGGCGGCATATCCCCGTTGAATGGCCAGGCTCAACCTTTGTCCGAAATGCGCGCCAGCCCTTGGATCCCCTGACACGTCGATGAGGCGTGTGGAAATCTCTTAAAATAGCTCACGGGCTTCTGCACCCCAAAACCCCAAGGTCTCCACGACAAAAGGCACAAATATATACGGCTCTCCCAAGGCCCCATATTTTCGCCTTTTATTGGTTTCGGCTGTCGCCGCAGCTGCGCCGGCTTTGTGAGCGGTCGCTCTCACGTGAGATGGGGCAACAGTGTCCACGCATGTGGCATCCCACACGAGTGACCGCCCGTTTTTCCACGGGATGAGCGTCATACCATCGGGCCTCTTGCCATCGTCCTGGGCGATGCCATTAGGTTTAAGCACTGCTGGCACCATGGAAGAGGCAAGGGCGCGACGGATGAAGTCATTTAAGTCATTCGCTAACTAATATTCAAGCTATTACGTGGTCTTCAATCAAACAAAGGTGTTTCGAGAACTGTACTAATAGACAAGAAGCTAATCGGCCCGCGGGCCATTTCCGGTTCCTTAAATGGTTGTATTCCGGCCCGTTACCATCAAACAATAATCCAAGGTTTTCACCAAAAAGTAAAAAAAGAAAAATTGTATGCACTGACCATACTTTAATTTTTATACACTTTTATTTTTTAATCATAATTCCAGATGAAATCCATAGATCAGGCAGCAGACGGGACTCGAACCCGCACCCTCCGCTATTCGGGCGGATACACTGACGATTATGCTACCGCAGCTCTAATTGCCAGTGTCTAATTTTTCCTAGTATTTTTTAGAATGCTAGGCAGCGCCATCTCTTCGCATTGCAGGTAACCCACAATGTCAAATGAATACCTTTACAAGTATTAAACATTTGAAAGAAGAAATAGCATTTAGGGTTATACTTTTTTAGCATTTAACCGCTAAATGTTAAAACGCCGTACATGATCACCCGGCGTGGATTTGCAAATTGATGACTTACTTTGCATTGTATTAAATTTGACTTTTGATTTGATCATCATTGACGTCCATTCTATTCTCGACTTCAAAGTTTTAACGTAATGAGAGTGGGATAGACAAATATGAATTTTAACACTAAGCGTGCTCTGATCTTGATGAAGCAAAACTTTATTGAGTTGAAAATTGATGTGTTCAAATAAAATTATGGAACATTATGACATAATATGACATACAGACAAGAAAGCAAACAATGGGATATAAACATACTCCGCCAAATGGGTCATTCATTCAACGCATACTGGTCACCACAGTTGACAATGGCACACGCAGAAGGTTAACTATAAATAGTCGGTAAAGCACGTGCGTCCGTTCCCTCGTGATCATACTTTCACTCGAGATCAATCGACTGTGCCTTGGCAAAATTATGAATCATCACGTCGCTCTTCGCTCTTGGCAGTGGTATTCTTCCGCGGAATTCATAAAAGTTCTTAAATATCTTAACAACAAAACAAACAATGGTATATAAAAAAAATGCTATTGCATTAGGATTATTCCTTTAAAAATGGCTGTATATGATTTTACAATAAATAAAAGAAAATAAAACGAGTGTGCTTATGACCACACGACTGAAGTGATATTTTTTCTTTTCTTTTCTTCACTTCAAACAAATCTTAATGATGAATTATCTTCCGTTTTTCTTTATCGTTAATTTGTAATAGCACAGATTTAAATTACCATCAAAAACTTTAATTCGATCCTCAAAAAAAATACAAGACAATTGGTAACCTAAACTTTTAAGTTACTTGTATTTTTAGGTAATCATTTATTATAAAATTGAAGAACATTGAAATATTAAAACCCGAATTAGAAAAAAGAATTCTTCATTAGACTTCGAAAAATTTACAGGTAAAAAATACCCTTTTGTTTGGGTGACTGCGAAACTGAAAAACTATTTAGACCGATGTTTTGTACTAAACGAACATAATACGATAGCAACATTTTACTGTATATGAATTTAAATTAACAATACTCCCTCAATAACAAGTTTAAGAAAACGATCTCACGTTATTGACTAATGTTTATGGAGTCCGTAAAAAGTGGATATTCATCATTCTGTTGTGTATTTCAGAAAAAATAACCAAATCAAAAACTCCATTTTCAAATTGCCGCAAAAACATTTCTCTGGACAATATGGCGTCTTACTAGCGTGTGACGTCACACGACTGTTATTAAAACGTCAAAAGATACAATGTAATGTCACTTTAGCCGGAAGTTTACAAACTTGCGTGTCATTTTAGGCTCCGTTAATCCCAAGCGTTTTAGGTCACGTGACAATAGATAAGAAAACTATTATCTTTTTCGTGGGTTTTTAGTAAAATTATGAATATCTTTTTTGTAAAAATAGTAAAAACCCCTGCCAATATTCATTCTAAACAGAGATGCTAACATTTGGCACTTTATTTTTAATACTGTCAAATACCCTATTGCGCAGCTGAAGCCGCGTTGCTTCATCTATAGTTAAATTTGACTACAGTTAATGTCACGTCAAATACATCTGATGACTTTTTATGCTCACCACTTATTAAATGAAACGTCAAAAAATTCTGAAAAAAGTATTAAAAATGCATTTAGGTATACCCTTTCAAAACGTGTTTCATTCATAGTTGTCAAATTTCGAAAAAAAAATGTCTAGTATTTAAAATATAGTCAAATTTAACTGGAGATGAAATAATGCTTTATTACGCAATGTTTTTTACAATAGAACGTAACTAATTTAATTAAAACCTACAAAAGCCTCTTATGTATAATTTATTTTCGAGCAATTTACTACCGGAACTATCAAAACTTAATTTAAGCGTAAATTATTACACAGTGCAAAATACTCGAATAATGTTTTCAAAAACCACAACGAGTAAATATTTATATATATCACAGAAACATAAGCATACTAATTGCATGATTATTGTGGTCATATAATGTTTGAATGAACACAAATGTTTGCGTGAGTGGACGCAGTTGCCAAATATTTTAATTGCTCACAGTAAAATTAGGTTATGACGGGCTACGGATATCCAATTAATAACAAATATTTTTATTAACTTTGTTGCCATTAGTTAAAATCAATTAATCAATAATTAAAATTATAAATAATTACATCATCATCTTTAATTATTTTAATTATTAAGGTATCTTAATAATTACAGTTTAATGTCAAGAAATTATTTAAATAGAACAAAATCAATAATAATGAAAATTAATAATCGTTTTTTTTTAAATATTCTAAGTAAGATTTTTTCTAGAAACCATACAGAGAATGGGATGTAAAATATACCTAATATCGATAATCGATATAACAACACTCCAATCTAGGTAAACAAAACCGCTTAGAGATAAAATTAGGTAAATAATGTCTAGCCGGTATCAAATAAGCATAATATTATTTATCTTCAAACAAGTAAGTGCCACTAATGTGAAGCATGTCCGATTATACAATAGATAACTCACACAATACCCGTCAGCTGACGTCTGGTTTTGGCGAAAATTTGAAATAAATTGTAAAAATAGATATGCCGGCCGGCAGCGCAATCTTTTATGATCATCACAAGGTCGATATCAACATCGATACATGAACGTCAAAAACTGTTGGTATGCGAATAATTAATATTATGTTCGCGAGAGGAGTAATTATAGGTAATTTTATAACAAAATGAGGAGTTCGATGGCGCAAGTGGTTAGTGCGTTCGGCTGCGATCGTTGCAGTTAAGCAACTTTCGCACTGGCCGGTCATTGGATGGGTGACCAAAAATTTAGGTCCCGGCTGCATCTGCAGTCGTTAGCACCCACCAATCCGCACTGGGCCCGCGTGGTGGGTCATGGCCCAATCTCCCTATTCCATCTATAGGGAAGGCCTGTGCCCCAGCAGTGGGGACATTAATAGGCTGATGATGATGATTATAACAAATGCCAACAGAAAGTTTGAAGCATTAAAAATAGGATAGGGGGAGATAAGGAAAAGGCTGAGCCGAATGAATTTAGGAAAAAAACTTCCGATATACTAATTAATCAGTATGATGCTTAAAATATAAAAATATATTAAACAGGGACTTATAAAATGTAGATGAAAAAGCATCTCAATATTATTTTAGGGTTATTACTGTAATAAAACGAGAAATTTAAATTTTTTATAGACTAAAAGAAAAATACAAGTAAGTAAAACAATAATAAGAAAAAGGGGAAGAAGGCCTAGATGAAAATAAACAATCTAATTTAAATAGTAAATTAGATTTTTTATTACAGGTAATAGAAATAAAAGCACCATTAAAATCAGACATTCAAATTCGAGATGCCGTATCATAACCCCTAGCTCGATATTTGCAGAAGAATATAAAATATGTTTAATGTTAAATTAAGGTTAGGAGGCGACCAGACGTAGTGAAAGGTACAAATGTAGATCAGAGTACAAATTACACTGATTTTTTATCGGAGTATACAGGGCAGGCCAACGACCCTGTCTACTATATGTATATACTGTATGACATAGCAATCAAAATGCAGGTAAACAATTAATGTATATTTAATAATTATGTAATGAAAGGTGACTTCATGAATCATCACTGAAGTAATTTTTCAATTTGACGACTCTGTAAATAATAAAACGGGGAGAAAAAACGGCCCTTGCTGAGTTTCTTGCCGGTTCTTCTCAGTACAAGGTCTCCCGCCGTAGATTTACGAACCGATGGCGTAGCTTCTAGACGTTAATGAGTGCTTGTAACAGCCTAAACTGAATAAATGATTTTGATTACGACTAAATTGCGAAGCTCCCTGGAGTTTGACGACAACATTTACGGGGTGAAGCCTAAAATGTCACTTTTGGTAAAGGTAATGCTACGACTTCTGGTTTCATCCTAGTGAATAATTATTGTTCTTTATAATCATACGATAGCAACAGGAGTTTTGCTTTAACATATAAATAGGTCAAAGTTTGTCGCAATGAGAGATTACACACATAACAAATAAGATAAGAAATCTTATAGTATACTAAATATTACAGAAAAGATAGCGAAACGAATGTTAATACAGACGATATATAAGTAAATTATAAATCATAATTACATAATTAATCTAAACATATATTTCGGGTAGACTTTTGAATAAAAATTTAGCTTATTTAATTACAGAGATCAATAAACAAGGAAAAGAAAAATATTTATTGATTTCATAGGTACTATTAAATGAATAACACATAAATGGAAACAGGACGAAATGATCCGCTGAAAGCTTGACGTTTTAGCTTTTACGAAAGTTTCCAGCGCGGTTGCATCAGAAAACCCGCATCAAGGTGGAAGCAAAAACGTGCATTTAAATTCGGATGTTTGAAATTTCATTAAAATTACTTTTTTGAGAATAAACACTGTGAGTAGCTTTGGTTAAAATACTAAAAGTCTAAAAAAGTTTGTTAATAATTAGAGAGCATAAACATTTTTCTAACTACAGTAAGATAAATATAACACTCATCTTATAACAAAATAGTGCGGTTATTCTTTACGGTTCAATAACTTTTTTCTTCCTTTATAATAAGAGCTGATAGTTTTATTAAAATATATTCTTGATATATCAAACTTTATATCGAAAGTTTTTCTTCAACTTCTCCATACACAGGAGCAGATATATAATAAATATTACTCTTGTCCTATTGCCAATTTGCCTAACTATTTAAAACACTAAATTAATTTAAATACTTTCTTTTATGTCGAAAAGTTATAAAATAAATATTTTTTTTTAAAATGAAGAAGTTAAAGTAACCAATCAAATGTTTACCTTAGTTTCAGTGCCTCTATGTGTAGCGTTTCCCTGCCAGAATCTTCTGGAGAAACCCTTAACGTAACCGGTGACAGCTTGCTTGTACTCAAACCCAGGGTTCCAGCACAATGAACCGTAGCCGAATACCCAGAAGGGCTCCTTCCTCGAAACCTCCTTTTCCGCCATAAAATCCCCTGTTGCTCCTACAAACTCCTTATTGTTATCCATAATTGAAGGTTTCTTTAGAAATCGCGGTACTTGGTGAAAGTGAGGACAGCCCGCGTCCCAAAAAAGGTTATATCACAGATACTTTTTGTCACTTTATTATTCTACTTGTGTCTCATCGTGGGTATTTTGAACACGTGCACCGTGATAGCAACTAGCTATAATGGGCGACTACTGCTGATACGTCTATCCATGGCGGCGATATTTCCACGACTGACTCGATTCATAGCTTTTGTTACTCAGCTTTCGGTACCGGTCGATGCCACGATTTTGATTACAATTGTTCGGGCTATTTTCAACCTTATCTTAAACTGAATAACGTAGATCAGGAACGCAAGGTTGTTTTGTAAACTATCAGACAGCAAGGAATCGAAACGTTCCATTCCACGCTCATGGATTTCGCTTTAAAATAACTGCTGTAGATTTGGATTATATCTAGGGAGTTGATACATTTGGAAACAATTGTAATTATGTTATGTAATGGTAAAATAACCTTTTCATTATTTTGTTTGTGATCCCTGAAGAGGTTATATTGGAGTTTTGTATAAATCGAAAACGGAACGTAGCACTGATCGATTTACTACTGGTAACCCACATATTATGATTGCCCAATAACGAACGCATTCGTTTGCGATTGGTTAAAACAGGGGTGATGCAATTTTTCAAAAAACTTACTGCGTAAAGAAATTTTGTATCTTTAAGCCTTTGTTACAATTGTAACTTAGTTGCCTTTGTTACTTAGTTTTCATTTCAATGTATTAAGCCTTTAATTAGTGATTGTACTATTAAATGAATATAACATGAGGTATTCATAAACATTACAAGATATAATTTATAATGATTCATTAATCATGTTAAAGATTTAGGTATAACTTTTTATGCTGAAAAAAATATTCTAAACTCATTATAAAAACATACATAATAAAGCTAATCGGCTGCTAGGTTTTGTTTTACGACTGACAATAGACTTTAGAAATCCTCAAAGCATCATCTATCTTTTCAACTCGTTAGTTCGCAGTGATCTAGAATATGGATCTGTCGTTTGCTCACCTTTCTATAATGTCTATTGTAAACTATTAGGGGCCGTACAAGTATTTCGTAAGCAGATTTATTACAATTATTAACCCCGTCCTCCCCTTTGTCAGCAAAGGTAAGCAAGCCCTTTTTTTTAATTGATTCATGAGCTTTCACGGTCTTCATGAGCAGCAGGACTTAAATAGGCTTAGGATAGAGGACTTTAACGCACATAATATTCATTTAAACAAACTTTTTTGTATACTTACACAGAATTCAACATAGAGTAAGGTACAAATATTATAACTGAATTTTTGGTATACATATTTATTCCAATTAACTGTCTTGAGTCCATAACACCCGAATCCATGATGCTGACGTAATCACTTTCCATGACATCAAGAATAAACAAAGCAAAGACCCTCCTGTCCCCTTAAAGTGCTTACGTAATACTTGGCCGGCTCCATAAAGGGCGTTCAAAGGAAAAATTCCTAGGATGTCAATCTTATCGTCAGGGTAATTCTCGGAAACTAAAACCAACGACAGATTAGCATTTTACATGGTTACAACTTTAGAAAACAGACGAAAACAGAGCGATATATGATTTATGATAAAGAGAGTAAGAGTAGGAAGTGAGCTGTGTGAGGAATTCGAGGTTGTCACTGGCGTTAAACAAGGTGATGCGCTATCTCCGTTACTGTTTAACATAGGCGTTGAGAATGTATTTCGAAAAGTATTAGATACCAACGGTGGAGTTGGAGTTAAATGGTATTGATTGTTGGGTAGTGGAAGGTGCAGATTCCAATCCTGTCTGATGCCTGCACCGTGTGGATTGCTTTTCTAGTAAAAAAAAACAATTTAAGACAAATTTATTGATTAACTTTAAGAACAACAAATAAAACTACTTGATCGTTTTAATATAATGGTCCATATATTTTCATAAAGAATAAATCACAATGCATTAGTTTTATTTTACACAGTATAACAGACACGGGAGTATTAACGATTGAATATTTCACTTGCCTACACTAAAAGAACTGTAGTAATTATTATTTCACCATAAATATTGTAGGTGAAGAGTTGGTAAAATTCCTTTTTTATATTTTTGGTGATGTTTTTCTAATTTACAGGCTATGGAATGACAAAACTATAAAACTGTTTTAAAACCTTTGATGTTCGGTACAATAAATTAGAGTATACTTCAATTATGGTAATTAAATAGGTAGTTTCCATAAAAATTCCCAATTTTGATCATCATTAGCCTATGTTTTCACTGCTTGGGTACAGGCCTTTCCTATAGATGGACTAGGGAGATTGGGCCATGACCCACCACGCGGGCCCAGTGCTAACGACTGCAGATGCAGCCGGAAACAACGGCTTAACGTGCCTTCCGAAGCACGGAGGAACTCGAGATAGAAGATTTTTGGTCACCCATCCAATGACAGATCACTGAGAATGTTGCTTAACTTTAACGATCGTAGCCCAACGCACTTACCACCTGCGCCATCGAGCTTCAATTTTGATAAACAAATAATAAATATTAGAGTACCGATTTGGTAATTATTTTTACAGAAAGATTTACTTGCGTCCAAGCCGCATACTTTATAAAATGTCATTTGATTTTTTCATTGCGGCGTATTTGGACTCTATTCCTTTAATATAAAGCACTTTGCACCTGTAGCCTATACATTTTAATTACTTTATTGCAAATTCTTTCATTTACTTGTCTATTGTAAATTGCACAATAAATAATTTCTGTTCAATAAATTTACAGAAAGGACATGGTATGCGGTGGCTTGACAACTTTTATTATCGTTCCCAGACTACATGAAATTAACTATAAAATTATGCGCTCATTGAGATGTGTCTATGACAATAATGAATGTTTGCCTCTTGAGGCTGAGTTTGAGCTGAGCTCAGTCTGCCTGCAGTGACAGCTAAAAAATGGTCCAAGCGGCAGAAAAAACATTGGCCGCCTCAAGAGTTGTATTATGTAAGTTCTATAGTACATCATATAAGGAATCTTCTCTAATTTTCTTAAAATATTTGCATGAAGTTTTAACTTTTTATAAAAACAGTTATTTTTAATGATTAATAAAAATATCGATAATTATAAGCCACGTCACTAGTTCGAGGATCATTAAAAATAACTGTTTTTATAAAAAGTTAAAACTTCATACAAATATTTTAAGAAAATTAGAGAAGACTCCTCATATGATGTACTTAACGCCCTTCAAGCTTTATTTGTATTTATGTAATACCCTGTATTCTTTCAAACAAATAAAGCATTCAATGAGTAGTTTATTACCAGTACTCCAAGCATGAAATTTGATAGCTGCGTAATCGTATCGCATCGTCAAAGTTTCTATGTAAACTAAGCAGCGCTCCTAGCGGTCGTAAGAACGAACTGGGAGTCAATTGCATAACGGGATGGCTATGGCTATCGCTTACAATTTATAAAATTATTATTTCTGACCCCCGAAGGCTTTCAAATATCTTATGCTCATTTTCTTTAATATTGTTAGTACCAATGCAAAAGAAAAATAAAACTTTCAAAACATTTCAAAACCTTCAGCGGTCAGAAATACGAAAATGAATTCGAAAGCGATACCGATAGCCATAGCAATCCCGTTAAGCAATTGAACCCCTGGCCTCTTCCATTCTTAATTTGACGATGGTGACACGATCACGGATCTATGAAAGTTCATGTTTGGGCATTCGTAAATACACGTATAATACTTATAAGAGAAATGCCAACTTTTTAAATATTTTTTGATTTGATATCATTTATTTTTTGATTTCATAAATCTTGCTTTCATAGCCACATCCTTATGAGGTCAAAATTTCGTGTTGGTCGAGGAGTAACAAATTAGTGACTCTGACATACTATAACTTTATACCACAATTTCAATTTTGATTGCAAAATAATATTGAAATTATTATTACCTTTTTAATTCTACGTGTGTATCCGTAACCCACGCGGATACCCAACGTATTGTGCATTCAAAATTTATCTATGTGTGCGGCACAAATGCCATAAAATTCATTAACATTTTGAATAATATAATAATTATTATTTTATAAGATTTCAAAAACTGGCCTGCAATATGTGTGTAATATTCAATCGTGGCTTAACTTACTTAGATTCATTTACATAAATACATTTAGTTTAAATCGGGTTTTTACTGTTACGTTTGTTTATATATTCTTAATTAATAAATGGAATATAATACATATTACGAAGAGTTCTTTAAAAACTACATGTTTATTATTTCCTTTTATATATTTGAAGGAAATAATATTTTAAAAGAACATATTGAAACATAAAAGCAATGTTTTAATATTTCTATATAAACATATAACTTCCTACAGGAGTATTTTATGCTGTGGAAATCAGAAAAATTGACACCAAGTTATAATTAAAAAAAAAAGACTTTATTTCTAAGAAATTGCACTTCAACGAACAGCACCTCAAAAACAATAAGTAAAAAACAAATATTATTACCAAATGTAACGAATATTTGTATTAAATAAATAGGTAATTAAATAAATGCGAATACTTTGTACGGCTTTAAGCAACAGAAACCAGGGGGCCAATCGCCTAACGGAAATGCTTTGGGAAACGCTAACGCTTACGATTTAATTTTGTTATTTTTAGCCGCCTGAGCTTTTCAAATGCCTCGCGCTCTTTTTTTCTCTTTTGCATTGGTAATAAGAATATTAAAAAAAATGAGCGTGAGGTATTTGAAAACCTTCGGCGGTCAGAAATAACAACATAAAATCGAAAGCGTTAGCGTTTTCCAAAGCAATTCCGTTAGGCAAATGGCCCCCAGGATCACACCGTCTCTAGAGATGGCGCCCATTGCAAATCATACAGTTACAGTCTTACGTCTGTCAAAATTGCGACACTAAAATTACATTCTTGATCAGTTGTTACAAGTGATGTTGCTGAGCTCTTAAAAAGCTTATAAAATTACTTTAATTGGGACGACTTAAGCATAGCTTGTACTATGGAAATGTGATAAGTAAACGATACAGTACAATACATAAATAAGTGTTTAAAGAAAAGAATAGGTAATCAATCAAGAATAAAAGAAGTAGACGTAAATAATATTATTTTAATTTAATGTAAGTGAAAGCCACGATTGCAAGTATATTATTTACTATTTTAGGTAACAATCTAGTGAACAGTAATTATGACAATGTTATTGTATTTTTGCAACGTGTCTTATTAATAATGTATTCATAAATAATCCTAATATCCACATTTTGCACCAAAACTTTGTGATTCGAAGGTAACTAACAAATGTTATACTTAAAGAGATTACAGAATCCATTAATTCTAATTTATAATAATATTATATATTTATTTACAATAAAAGAAATTTTCATTTGTGATATTTGGCATGTATTATTCCGTCGCAAGGAACAATATTGTGAAGTGTTTCATAATGTTAAAACATAAATAATTCTCAATATTTTATATAATTGTTTTATAATTATTAATAATGATTTATTTACATTATTTTATAAATTCACAAGAACTCTTTAAACATATTATCTAACGTTAATAATTATAATTCAAATACTTTCAGTTGTAATCAAATCTAATGATAAAATTTGGAGACATCAAAAATACATATTTTTGCATAGCTACTTTAATTATTAAGTTGATACATCTTTTGAAAATTTTATATATACTTTCTTTATGAAACACTCCAATGAGACGTTAACTATTAACAAAGTTTAAAAAATTGTGATGGTCGTTACTATTCATTATTATTATTATTTACAACAATCAGACTTTTTACAGTAAAACACGCTTCAACACATTCAAAACATCAAGATTCTTTAACACGTTGTGTGTACTTCACGCTTGCACTATTAATAATTATTATTGAAACATACCAATTAATTTTAGATAATAATTTAATACTATGTTCCTGAACACAGGACAGGTACGGTATTAATGTGCTTAAAATTGAATGTTATTATGTTACAATATGACTAGTGATATGTGTGATAACTTTACAAAGGATATGGTAAAACAGACATTATTATTTTATCATAATTATAAAGTATCCAATGAGATTACATAATTTATTAAGTATTTAATATAAGTTCCGGATTTGTTATATTTTTAGCTGATTTTGTTCCGATATCATGAGTTATTAGGAACAACAACAATTACAAAGTTAACAGAATCGGAACATTTAATGCACCACGGGGAGAATACATAAGTTATCAGTACTATTCTTAACAACATCTTTTAACATCAATATGCCTAATAATTATTATTTAAACACATAATAAGTATTTATTGCCTTTTTAAGTATACACAATGTGTTTTATTATCAAAAAGCTAAGGTATAATAATTATTAAATTTTCTATAATAATAATAATATATAATTTGATAACAGTTTCTATATCAATGAGCATTTTCCGTACAATATATAGAATAGTACTGTAAATATAGCTAAATATTAAATAAACTAAGTATCTCAATATATATAGGCAGTCAGGCTTTTTGGTAGGACCCTAATGGGATTGGATAAGGTTCAAAATGAACCTTTCAAGATTAGAGGTAGGTGAGTTTAACCTAATAAGTATCGTTCAGTTAATATTATGCTCTTTTTATTTATTCATAACCTTTATATTTACAGACTAAATAATATCAGATTGTTTTAATAACGTTCATGTTTTGGTCACACATTAATATTGGAATTGATCCGGTAAAGCTTATGCTAAGCCTTTTGAGGCCTAAATCTTTTGTGGGTTGCTATGTCCAATGTAGACTACAGACTTTCTGTGAGATCTGCTACATGATCTACAATAAATTATTTAAAAATTTGACAAGATCACATAGGTACTTTGTTTAAATCCCAAATGCACAGATTAGTAAAAGTTATTCCCGGCGGTTTAGCTTCTTATGCTGCTGCTTACAATGGTAAGCTACTAAATGTATTGTACTTAGAATCGGAATGTGAAACCAAAGTTTATTTTCTACAACATTACCAAGTTGTGTTAACTTGAAAATAAGAAACACGATCCCAAAGAAGGGATACTTTTATGTTAAAAGAGTGGCAAACAAGCGGCTCACCTGATGGTAAGCGGTCACCATAGCCCACAGACCTGATACCAAAATAATATCACCAAAGTTTTATTTAATAAAAATAAGTAAACATTTAGTCATCAAGATCGGGACATAAACAGTACACACGAAAGTCTAAAATCTGGTAAAATGCGGATGCTATTAAAGTCTGTTGATAACTAAAGCCGCTTAACTGCACCATTTGTGATGACTGGTATCACCGAACGCAAGGACTCGTTCAACAACACTGGGCAACTACAATTTTAAAGTCAAAAGAAGTCTGACTTAAGTCAAGCCTTAAGGGCTCAGACTTAAGCGGAATGCTTGGATCATACGTTCGACTCTGGTCCTTCGGTGTTGTGCTTGAACGAGGCTCGGATCCTGGCGAGGTAGAGGGCGCATATGTGCCCGTAACATTTGTTGTACCACTCCGGAGTTCTGCCCCTGTAGAAATTATTGATTTCACTAATTGTGTATTTTTTAAATAGGTATGCATATTTACATGTACTGTGATTATTCATGTCCAATTATAAAGTGTGAATTATCTATGTAATGTGATTATTCATGTCCAATTATAAAGTGTGAATTATCTATGTAATGTGATTATTCATACCCAATTATAAAGTGTGAATTATCTATGTAATGTGATTATTCATACCCAATTATAAAGTGTGAATTATCTACGCAATGTGATTATTCATATCCAATTATAAAGTTTGAATTATCTTGGGTAATTCAACAATGTTTTAAGTATTATTATAATTTCTCCACAGTTTTGGGGTTATTCAGTCCCAGTGGAAATGTAGTCACTGCGACCTAAAAGATCTATTGAGACTCGCCACCAAGTTAAAGTATCTCTTTCAGCCGGACAGCTTTCGAAAAATTTCAAAACGTTCCTAGCTTTCAGAGATTTGATTACCTCTGGCCGTATTATGCTATAAGTACCACAAAGTATAGGAACCTCTCGATACCACCTCACATACACCGCGGAACGTTGATCTAACTCGTGACAACGTGACATGAATTACTTATTTTTTAACGTGCAGCCGGTGTTTATCGATTTATAAGACGTTATTTATAAGACTAAACTCACATGGTGTCCACGCGCGCCAGATGCACGAGCCGGCTGCGGCCCTTGCCCGCGGGCTGCGCCAGGTACCGCGAGGCCAGCACCACCCCGCGCGCGGCCCCGTCAGCCCCGGTCCCGGTCCCAGCCCCGGTCCCGGTCCCAGCCCCGGTCCCGGCCCCGGTGCAGGCGGCGTGCGCGACGGATGTCTCCGCGACGGCGCACCAGCCGCCCGCGCCGCCGCTGCCGCCTCCTTGCTGCCATGACCTAGGAAATAAAACGAAACTTTATAGTGTGACAAAGATATTTATATGAATGTGAATGACGATTCAGACAGGGCTCCCCTGTTTATGAAAAACACCACATTTGACATACAAAATATGACGTTTACGAAGACGGCGGCATTCGTTCCAATTTTTGCCAATTTCATAAAAATCCTGATTGTACTATAGTTTGCCCTTGACATTTTCATCAAAATTTGAGTATAAAAGAATTTTGAATGGAAAAAAATAATACAGAGATTAAAACTCTTTTGTACATTGTCTCTTTTATTATTTGTCTCATTTTGTATTTGTCTCTTTTATTACATTCTAACACTATGTTTTTGTAACATAATAATTATTAATGACTTTTAATTGACAAATTTATGATATAAAAACTCAAAGAAAACAAGATCAGATTTGAAAACATTTTAATAGAGAACAGCAAAAAAGCGGTAAAATCTGGCAACACTCATAGTAATTATGTCTCGCAGGAGTTTTTGGCGGGATTTCATCGAGTGTGGTTGGCGTCTTTTTTAATTATTCTTAAATTCGTTCATAGTGGATATTGTGAAATAAAATTGGTGTGATTTTGTGTTACAACCATCTGCGCAACTGAAGAATTAATGAAATCTTTAAAATATACTCTATTCCGGTCAAGTGGACGTGAGAACTTTATTGTAATGTTGACTACCCCACAGAAGCTTATCGAAAAAACCAACTCGATACATTTCATGCCAAACACTCCAAGAAACGATAGAATGCGTCACACCGACATTCTATTGTAAAAACAAAAAGAAGATTAATTTAATCAAAGACCAGGCTGTATGGACATTGTTCCCTTTGCCTTCCCTAAAACGGGAGAACTTCAACAAAAAAAAATATGTCACGCAATACCTGAGCACGCAGTACTCGCGCGCGGGCAGGTTGATGCTGGCGGCGGTGACGTAGTGGAACACCTCCGCGTTGGTGCCGAGCTTCTCCACCACGCGGCTGCGGACCAGCGAGTCGTCCCAGATGTGCCGCTCGCGGAGGATCCTGGAATTGAATCATTGTGTTCAATGACACAGCCCCTGGATGCGGAGAGCGCAGGATCATTGCATATGGAAATCCCTTGAGTTGACCTATGTCCAGCGGCCGTTGATGATGAATTTAAGTAGAGGTAAATATGGTAGTATAGAGTGGTTATGACTGATAATGTGGTGGTATAGAGCGGGAGCTCGATGAGGCAAATGGTTAGGACGCCCGGCTGCGATCTTTCAAGTTGAGCAACTTTTGCAGTGGTCGGTCATTGGATGGTTAGCCAAAAATTGACTATCTCTTCCTCCTCCGTGCTTCGGTTGGCACGTTAAATCATTGGTCCTGGCTGCACATTCAGTTGTTAGCACAAATTAAACCACACTGGACATGCCTGAGGGGTCATAGGGCAATTTTCCTATTCTATCCATAAGCAAGGACCTGCGCTTCAGCATTGGGGACATTAATGGGTTGATGATGATAAAGTCGGATGAGTTTGTAATGTGATGGGTTCCGAACTTGGGGGTAATTACCCCTCCGGGGGTAAATCAGTCATACTTCGGGGGTAACAAAGAACCTAATTAATTGGTCAAATCTAAATAATAAGAAAATACTATATAAATTAATTATTACTATATAATACTAAATAGAGCATGCGCTCCTTCTTGCTAGCGAGCCCGCGGGGTGCTGAGTGTGGGAAGCGGGGCGAGAATTTCTCCTGATGATGACATTATTAGAGACGAAGATGTAGCGGCCAAATTGGAATTTCTTGGACTGATGATAACATTTTAAAGTCGGGGTAAAATCTGTTTTCCTAATAGGTTACAGGGGTAGCAGTATTGGAAAGGTTAGGAAACACTGCGTTAAAGGAAGGATAAATGGAACGGATCAGTTTTTATTGGCGGCAATTACTGCTGACACAAACTAAGTAAAGTGACGTGACGCTCGCGGATAATCCTGCCTGTTGCGGAGTGTAAGTTTAAGTTCATCATTATCATCATCATCATCGTGATGATGAAGTTTAAGTTAAATAGAGGTAATTGTGATGGTATAGTGTGGAGATGGGAAAGGATACATGTCCAGTTTTACTGTGACAAGATTACATGGAACATATTTTTATTTCATACCTGTGCACCAGCTCCATGGGCGGCGCCTCCACGTCGGTGGTGACGCGCCACAGCCGCAGCGGGTGTCCGTCGCCCCCCTTCTTGTGTCAGAGTGAGGCCCGGTACTGTACCTGTGCACCAGCTCCATGGGCGGCGCCTCCACGTCGGTGGTGACGCGCCACAGCCGCAGCGGGTGTCCGTCGCCCCCCTTCTTGTGTCAGAGTGAGGCCCGGTACTGTACCTGTGCACCAGCTCCATGGGCGGCGCCTCCACGTCGGTGGTGACGCGCCACAGCCGCAGCGGGTGTCCGTCGCCCCCCTTCTTGTGTCAGAGTGAGGCCCGGTACTGTACCTGTGCACCAGCTCCATGGGCGGCGCCTCCACGTCGGTGGTGACGCGCCACAGCCGCAGCGGGTGTCCGTCGCCCCCCTTCTTGTGTCAGAGTGAGGCCCGGTACTGTACCTGTGCACCAGCTCCATGGGCGGCGCCTCCACGTCGGTGGTGACGCGCCACAGCCGCAGCGGGTGTCCGTCGCCCCCCTTCTTGTGTCAGAGTGAGGCCCGGTACTGTACCTGTGCACCAGCTCCATGGGCGGCGCCTCCACGTCGGTGGTGACGCGCCACAGCCGCAGCGGGTGTCCGTCGCCCCCCTTCTTGTGTCAGAGTGAGGCCCGGTACTGTACCTGTGCACCAGCTCCATGGGCGGCGCCTCCACGTCGGTGGTGACGCGCCACAGCCGCAGCGGGTGTCCGTCGCCCCCCTTCTTGTGTCAGAGTGAGGCCCGGTACTGTACCTGTGCACCAGCTCCATGGGCGGCGCCTCCACGTCGGTGGTGACGCGCCACAGCCCGCAGCGGGTGTCCGTCGCCCCCCTTCTTGTGTCAGAGTGAGGCCCGGTACTGTACCTGTGCACCAGCTCCATGGGCGGCGCCTCCACGTCGGTGGTGACGCGCCACAGCCGCAGCGGGTGTCCGTCGCCCCCCTTCTTGTGTCAGAGTGAGGCCCGGTACTGTACCTGTGCACCAGCTCCATGGGCGGCGCCTCCACGTCGGTGGTGACGCGCCACAGCCGCAGCGGGTGTCCGTCGCCCCCCTTCTTGTGTCAGAGTGAGGCCCGGTACTGTACCTGTGCACCAGCTCCATGGGCGGCGCCTCCACGTCGGTGGTGACGCGCCACAGCCGCAGCGGGTGTCCGTCGCCCCCCTTCTTGTGTCAGAGTGAGGCCCGGTACTGTACCTGTGCACCAGCTCCATGGGCGGCGCCTCCACGTCGGTGGTGACGCGCCACAGCCGCAGCGGGTGTCCGTCGCCCCCCTTCTTGTGTCAGAGTGAGGCCCGGTACTGTACCTGTGCACCAGCTCCATGGGCGGCGCCTCCACGTCGGTGGTGACGCGCCACAGCCGCAGCGGGTGTCCGTCGCCCCCCTTCTTGTGTCAGAGTGAGGCCCGGTACTGTACCTGTGCACCAGCTCCATGGGCGGCGCCTCCACGTCGGTGGTGACGCGCCACAGCCGCAGCGGGTGTCCGTCGCCCCCCTTCTTGTGTCAGAGTGAGGCCCGGTACTGTACCTGTGCACCAGCTCCATGGGCGGCGCCTCCACGTCGGTGGTGACGCGCCACAGCCGCAGCGGGTGTCCGTCGCCCCCCTTCTTGTGTCAGAGTGAGGCCCGGTACTGTACCTGTGCACCAGCTCCATGGGCGGCGCCTCCACGTCGGTGGTGACGCGCCACAGCCGCAGCGGGTGTCCGTCGCCCCCCTTCTTGTGTCAGAGTGAGGCCCGGTACTGTACCTGTGCACCAGCTCCATGGGCGGCGCCTCCACGTCGGTGGTGACGCGCCACAGCCGCAGCGGGTGTCCGTCGCCCCCCTTCTTGTGTCAGAGTGAGGCCCGGTACTGTACCTGTGCACCAGCTCCATGGGCGGCGCCTCCACGTCGGTGGTGACGCGCCACAGCCGCAGCGGGTGTCCGTCGCCCCCCTTCTTGTGTCAGAGTGAGGCCCGGTACTGTACCTGTGCACCAGCTCCATGGGCGGCGCCTCCACGTCGGTGGTGACGCGCCACAGCCGCAGCGGGTGTCCGTCGCCCCCCTTCTTGTGTCAGAGTGAGGCCCGGTACTGTACCTGTGCACCAGCTCCATGGGCGGCGCCTCCACGTCGGTGGTGACGCGCCACAGCCGCAGCGGGTGTCCGTCGCCCCCCTTCTTGTGTCAGAGTGAGGCCCGGTACTGTACCTGTGCACCAGCTCCATGGGCGGCGCCTCCACGTCGGTGGTGACGCGCCACAGCCGCAGCGGGTGTCCGTCGCCCCCCTTCTTGTGTCAGAGTGAGGCCCGGTACTGTACCTGTGCACCAGCTCCATGGGCGGCGCCTCCACGTCGGTGGTGACGCGCCACAGCCGCAGCGGGTGTCCGTCGCCCCCCTTCTTGTGTCAGAGTGAGGCCCGGTACTGTACCTGTGCACCAGCTCCATGGGCGGCGCCTCCACGTCGGTGGTGACGCGCCACAGCCGCAGCGGGTGTCCGTCGCCCCCCTTCTTGTGTCAGAGTGAGGCCCGGTACTGTACCTGTGCACCAGCTCCATGGGCGGCGCCTCCACGTCGGTGGTGACGCGCCACAGCCGCAGCGGGTGTCCGTCGCCCCCCTTCTTGTGTCAGAGTGAGGCCCGGTACTGTACCTGTGCACCAGCTCCATGGGCGGCGCCTCCACGTCGGTGGTGACGCGCCACAGCCGCAGCGGGTGTCCGTCGCCCCCCTTCTTGTGTCAGAGTGAGGCCCGGTACTGTACCTGTGCACCAGCTCCATGGGCGGCGCCTCCACGTCGGTGGTGACGCGCCACAGCCGCAGCGGGTGTCCGTCGCCCCCCTTCTTGTGTCAGAGTGAGGCCCGGTACTGTACCTGTGCACCAGCTCCATGGGCGGCGCCTCCACGTCGGTGGTGACGCGCCACAGCCGCAGCGGGTGTCCGTCGCCCCCCTTCTTGTGTCAGAGTGAGGCCCGGTACTGTACCTGTGCACCAGCTCCATGGGCGGCGCCTCCACGTCGGTGGTGACGCGCCACAGCCGCAGCGGGTGTCCGTCGCCCCCCTTCTTGTGTCAGAGTGAGGCCCGGTACTGTACCTGTGCACCAGCTCCATGGGCGGCGCCTCCACGTCGGTGGTGACGCGCCACAGCCGCAGCGGGTGTCCGTCGCCCCCCTTCTTGTGTCAGAGTGAGGCCCGGTACTGTACCTGTGCACCAGCTCCATGGGCGGCGCCTCCACGTCGGTGGTGACGCGCCACAGCCGCAGCGGGTGTCCGTCGCCCCCCTTCTTGTGTCAGAGTGAGGCCCGGTACTGTACCTGTGCACCAGCTCCATGGGCGGCGCCTCCACGTCGGTGGTGACGCGCCACAGCCGCAGCGGGTGTCCGTCGCCCCCCTTCTTGTGTCAGAGTGAGGCCCGGTACTGTACCTGTGCACCAGCTCCATGGGCGGCGCCTCCACGTCGGTGGTGACGCGCCACAGCCGCAGCGGGTGTCCGTCGCCCCCCTTCTTGTGTCAGAGTGAGGCCCGGTACTGTACCTGTGCACCAGCTCCATGGGCGGCGCCTCCACGTCGGTGGTGACGCGCCACAGCCGCAGCGGGTGTCCGTCGCCCCCCTTCTTGTGTCAGAGTGAGGCCCGGTACTGTACCTGTGCACCAGCTCCATGGGCGGCGCCTCCACGTCGGTGGTGACGCGCCACAGCCGCAGCGGGTGTCCGTCGCCCCCCTTCTTGTGTCAGAGTGAGGCCCGGTACTGTACCTGTGCACCAGCTCCATGGGCGGCGCCTCCACGTCGGTGGTGACGCGCCACAGCCGCAGCGGGTGTCCGTCGCCCCCCTTCTTGTGTCAGAGTGAGGCCCGGTACTGTACCTGTGCACCAGCTCCATGGGCGGCGCCTCCACGTCGGTGGTGACGCGCCACAGCCGCAGCGGGTGTCCGTCGCCCCCCTTCTTGTGTCAGAGTGAGGCCCGGTACTGTACCTGTGCACCAGCTCCATGGGCGGCGCCTCCACGTCGGTGGTGACGCGCCACAGCCGCAGCGGGTGTCCGTCGCCCCCCTTCTTGTGTCAGAGTGAGGCCCGGTACTGTACCTGTGCACCAGCTCCATGGGCGGCGCCTCCACGTCGGTGGTGACGCGCCACAGCCGCAGCGGGTGTCCGTCGCCCCCCTTCTTGTGTCAGAGTGAGGCCCGGTACTGTACCTGTGCACCAGCTCCATGGGCGGCGCCTCCACGTCGGTGGTGACGCGCCACAGCCGCAGCGGGTGTCCGTCGCCCCCCTTCTTGTGTCAGAGTGAGGCCCGGTACTGTACCTGTGCACCAGCTCCATGGGCGGCGCCTCCACGTCGGTGGTGACGCGCCACAGCCGCAGCGGGTGTCCGTCGCCCCCCTTCTTGTGTCAGAGTGAGGCCCGGTACTGTACCTGTGCACCAGCTCCATGGGCGGCGCCTCCACGTCGGTGGTGACGCGCCACAGCCGCAGCGGGTGTCCGTCGCCCCCCTTCTTGTGTCAGAGTGAGGCCCGGTACTGTACCTGTGCACCAGCTCCATGGGCGGCGCCTCCACGTCGGTGGTGACGCGCCACAGCCGCAGCGGGTGTCCGTCGCCCCCCTTCTTGTGTCAGAGTGAGGCCCGGTACTGTACCTGTGCACCAGCTCCATGGGCGGCGCCTCCACGTCGGTGGTGACGCGCCACAGCCGCAGCGGGTGTCCGTCGCCCCCCTTCTTGTGTCAGAGTGAGGCCCGGTACTGTACCTGTGCACCAGCTCCATGGGCGGCGCCTCCACGTCGGTGGTGACGCGCCACAGCCGCAGCGGGTGTCCGTCGCCCCCCTTCTTGTGTCAGAGTGAGGCCCGGTACTGTACCTGTGCACCAGCTCCATGGGCGGCGCCTCCACGTCGGTGGTGACGCGCCACAGCCGCAGCGGGTGTCCGTCGCCCACCTTCTTGCAGCACACCTCCACGTGGGCCGCACCCGCGCCCACTGACACCCAACCTCGCGATCTGTACCCACAAAATTCATCATTCGACTCGACTCCGATTCGATTCAAGCTTTATGAAAGTCAAAATGTACGCCATCAGTTCGCAAATCTACGACAGAGACCATGTTGAGAAGGTCCGGCAAGTGACTCAGTAAAGGCTGCTAGCATTTAGACATTACTTCTCATGATAACACCACATATCTGTATTGCATGTTCCTTAATAAAAACCGATCCAAACGACGCAAACTTATTCTTGCGTGACGTATATACACATACAAAGTTGGTACAAAACGAAGACGTCCGCCTGTGCCCAATGCATCCGCCACTATTTCTTGTAAACAAGATCTTGTAATGTTTTCAATTAAATTTTTAATTAGTAAGATTGCATCTCAAACAGCAAACGATTAAATTATTTCATCCATAAAAAGAAAAATAATAATTTTCTTAACTTGATAATTTTTATAAAAATTGCCGACGACGTACAGGTAGGTAAATAAAATGTATTCTTAAATATACTTCCCATTTGCTTTAAGATACATTTAAACACAGTTCAGTATAAAAATAGATCTCTTAATAAGTAACTACTAACAAAGGAACGAGTGACAATTAAGATAACACCTAAGTGGTCAAACCTCTACAGATGAGATGATGGTGTAAACTGACTGTCGTGAATGGAAAGAATGTTTCCGATTTTCACCTTGTTGACAGTCTTCATACCAGTACTGAATTAGATTCAGTAAACCTAGAGATATAACAAATATTTTAATATTTATAGGTTTAAAAACTAACCTATTTTAAGTTTTTAATAAGGTGAAAAACAGAAATTATATGAAATACAGCCATTTCCCTGTTATCCGGATAACATTACCCCTGCTATGCATCGCCTATCTAGAATTTCACAATCTAATCGAATCCGTACAACAGAGGAAAGGCATCATCTACGTTCGTGCGTGACGCTCTAACACCGAATCTCACCTCTTTCCTGACCGGCCACAGACTCTAAAAGCATGAAACAAGTTATAAGAAACTATAAAAACAGTTAGAAGAGAACAGGAAATGATCTAGGAACTGGCAAGTAGAGAAATATCCAAGTTGACAATGAATTTGGTGTTTTATGTGACGGTACAAGTTCTGAACTCACTTTTCTTTGGCTTCTTTCAGCAGAGCTTTTATGCAGGCTTGTTGGAATCCTTTCCAATCTTGGTTGAAGTCTGCCCCTAATTCTTCTAACGCCACCTGAAAAATATAATTCGCATATTAGCTGTTGCTATTGCATGTAAATAAAAAAATGCTGGATTGGTTTTTCTACCTACGAGTAGTTTTATAATAGTTTAAAAAAAAACAATTCCAAAATTTTGTGAGTGAAAATAAAAAGGTTCAAATATTGAACCTTGTGGAATGCCAAGTTTTATTCACGAAGAATCAAGAGCTCGTTTTAAATACCAATCATGTAAGTTTCAACATTATAAAAAGATAATAATACAAACCACAAATTACTGATATAAGGAAATCTATTCCAATATTTGTTTCAGAATATTAAAGGTATAAACTTAATCAAAAGCCTTGGGAAAATCATAAAGAAGTCTTACAAAAATTTACTGTGATTCAAAAAGGTAGTTTAGGTACTGCCGGTGCGTGGCCAGTCTTAGCGGAGTGTCACGACCACACCCGCGCTCTAGACAAGCATTTGACAAGTCTTCAGAGATGCAGGAGTATCGTGCTTCAAGTTTAGTGAAGTCTTTATATATCCTCGTTGCAACTCCCAATGACGAACAGATACAAAAAGGGCAGTAAAGAAGAGTATAGCGATGTTTTGCCACGTACCGGCACGCTCTCCTCGAAGTAGTTGAACTTGCAGCGGGCCAGCATGTCGGCGGGCGCCAGGAACAGCGCGCGGTGCCGCGTCACGAGCAGCAGCAGGCACGCGTGGGCGGCGCGGCTCTCGCTTATCTGCCGTTGGTCCGCAACGCTCTCTATCACCATCCTGGTAACAATTATAACATGTCAACATCCGAAAAGTTTAAATAAAGTAACGTTCAGTGATTTTTGCTTAAGATTGAGCAACCGTTCAGGGAAGTAACTGATACGTATAGACAAACCGACCGGTGTGATGGTTTATGACCCATTCTCCCTACTATTCCATTTATAGGAAAGGCTTGCCAACCTGTTAATCTATCCACCGCTACTGTTCCAGCAGTGGAGACATTAACAGGTTGGTGATGATGATCGTAAGTATAACTACAGACAGTATATGCCTGTATCACGTCTGTACCACGGCGAGTGTTCTGAGGAGTTATTCCCTCTTATCCCACCTTCTCCTTTCCTTCAGAGGACCACGCGCGCTGGCCTACGTTGTCACCGTCTAACTGTAGCCACAATTCCAACGCGTACAAAGAAAAATTGGTAACTTATTTCTTTGTCGCACTATCCGTAAATGGAATGCTCTGCCCGCTCACGTGTTCCCTCCCTCTTACAACCTGGGATCCTTTAAAAGAGGCGTGAAGAAGCAACATGCAGGCCGGCAGGGTGAGGCAGGTAAAACTGCTGTATCAGCTATCTTCACGTCTGGACTTCACCTTCACTTAACATCAGGTGGGTTGGAGTCATTTGTCGGACCTTTCTATATAAAAAAAAGGTGGTGATAATGATGATTATATGTAGAGAGGGCGCCCACCTGTTGGAATGCCCCTCCTTGGTGCTGCCGTGCGGCGGCGGCGCGTGGTGGAGGCGCAGCAGCGTGGGCGCGAGGCACACCGCTAAATTAGATGCCGTCATTTGATTTACCTCAGAGTGTTCTGCCACCTAAAACACAATATAATATTTATTGAGCTGATATCGAGTAGAAATTACTCAAAAAAAAATTATAAATCGAGCAGTTTGATGCATAAAGTAACAGTATAATACACTGAGGAGCTCGATGGAGCAAGTGGTTAGCGCGTTCGGCTGCGATCGTTGAAAAACGATTTCTTAAGCAACTTGCGCAGTGGTGGGTCGTTGGATTAGTGACCACAATATTTACTACCTCGAGCTACTCCATGCTTCGAAAGGCACTTAAGCTGTTAATCCGCACTGGGCCTGCAATCGCCCTATTCGCTCCATAGGAAAGGCGTGAGCCCCAGCAGTGGGAACATTAATAGGATGATGATGATGTAGATGAAACTACAATTTGTCAGATGCAATGACACAATATATATAGTATAAAATATGAACTACGCGTTGCCTGATCAAACGTGAAGTAAAACTGGGCAGATAAGTGTGAGATAGATGAAAAGATGGAGTGGTCCATACTTCATCAATGATTTGGTTGCTTTTTTATCTCTTTCGAGGGAATTGTTAATTTCATGCGAGTTTTGCTCAATCCATTCTTTGTCTATAAGTGCGTCGCGCCAATACACACAGCGATCTCTTTCTCTCTCTATTTTCGTGCTCCATAGAGAATAGAAATAGATAATCATGCAAGTTTTAAGTTTATTGTCGACCCATTTCATGAAATATGCTCCAAAAAAAAATAATGTTAAGTTTTATACATTTTAAGTAAAATTTGTTAATCCGGCTCAAATGATCATTCAATATATGTGTAAATTTGATGATTCAAGAGTATGGTAAACACATTATTGCTTTTATTTTTGAAATGTTTATTTATTTATTTGAAAAGTATTAATAAAAAATCTTACATCAGCCAGAAAGATGAGAAGCGAATGTAAAGCTTCTAGGTGTTCTTCAGGTAACAACAGTAGTGCGCATTGAACTGCATCTGGCCTCAGCGGTTCAGGGACATCTGTGAACAAAAAGCAATTCATTTACTAACCTCAAATGGTAATTATGTTTCTTACTTCAGGGAATATTTTTTTCACTTTTTTCTAGGACTTGCTTTCTAATATCGAATGCATACTTACAACATTTATAAGTTCGAGGTTCACTCTTATTCTTTTAATATTTTGCCAGTCGAAATCAAGAGGTTTATCAACTTACAAATCTATTCCCCTACCCGGATCCGCGCAATGGGCCTCTGGTGCAGACAGCAGGAGTGCTGTCGTTGCATCAATCGGTCTTCAAAATAATATTTCAGGATGTCATTTTATTAATAGGAGAATCCCGATAGCGCAGATCGTGTAAGTTAAGTAATGCTATCTCGAACTGCTCTGTATCTGCAGTCGTTACCACCCACTAGTCCTGACTGGGCCTGCGTGCTTGATCATGGCCCAATCTCCCTATCCCATCTATAGGGAAAGCCTGTGCCCCCGCAGTGGGACCGTAATAGGTTGATGACAACGATATTAAATACCTTAGATACACCAACACGAACAAAATCGTGCCCGAGACCTGTCCAAAAGGTACATTGGACAATCCACGGCGCTCCGTAAGATGATCGGTTAGTTAAAAACAATATAAGGCATTACTCAAACATTGAAAGTCACATTTAATGCATACTGCATAAGATCTTAATAAAAACACACAGATAGTTCGAAATGTAAGCTCGTAAAATTTTATAATTTATTGCTATATGCGGAAGAATATAGACTTTATTACTTTGGCTCTACGCGCAATTCTGAATGCGCTGTTAGTAATATAGCAGGTACGGACCGCGAGGAAAAGATATATAACCGAATATCACAAATATTTTCTATTAAATCAGTTTATAGTAAGTATTAGAACAAAATTTGCTTCGAATGTGTTAAATTAACAAACATTGATTGAATACCTTTCGAAAAAATTACAGTTTATATATTAGAAGCATTTTTTTCGCATTTTCTCACGGAGCTCACCGGCAAGTTCACTTTCAACGGTCCGCGCGTGACTGTGAACCAAGAAGTGCTCGAGTGGAGTTCAAGCACTTCTCGATTGGGACACATTTTGAGCGCACGTGGCGTATCTAGGGTATTTAATATCGTCGGTTGATGATAATATCGTTTCAAACTAACGTTGGAATATAGCGATGAAGGTCTCGCTGAGCTTGTTGGTGAGCAGCGCGTCGGGTAGTTCTCTAAAGTATTGCTTCACTAAGTCCGCCACGTCATGCGCCTGAGCTCCCTCCAGCCACTCGTCCGTGGCGCCGGTTCCGGTGGCGGCCACTCCGGCGCCGGCGGCCTCCCCGGCCGCTTCCACGAGGCTGCGCAGTTTAGCGATGCGGGATTTCACGCCCGCCTTCCTGAATATGCCCATCTGGAAAAGCAAAGGAAATGGTCTAAAATGATTTAGGTAATAAAACACTTTTTAACATATTTGGTTTAGATTTAAACAAACTAGTTTTTACAGGTTAATGTGACCTTTACAGGCTACGTCGTCAGAATTTATTTAATTAAATTAAATTTAATTAAATAAAAGTTTAAATTAAATAAAAGTTTAATTCTGACGACGTAGCCTGTAAAGGCTACGAAACGTCAATAAATAAATAAAGTTTCATGCATTAACCCGTAAAAACTAGTTTTATTTACCCGTAAATGTGATGTGCGTGAAAACCTAAGAAGCAAATAGATTTAAACATCTTTGTTTTTATTTTTTTAGGCATTTAACTGCTAGATGTTTAAATCTAAAGAAAAGTTTTACTAGAAAAAAATCCACGCGGACCAGGCAGCGGACGGGACTCGAAACCGCACCATTCGCAATCCGGGCGAATGCACTGACCAATTATGCTACCACGGCCCTGATGGTCGCGTCGAAATTTTCCCAGCCTTAAGCTGCAAGGCAGCGCCATCTCTTCGCATTGTAGGTAACCCACAATGTCAAATGAATACTTTTTCAAGTATTAAACATTTGAAAGAAGAAATAGCAATTATAGTGCCGTCCCCAGAAAGTACAGTTTGGCCTAATTTAAATTTTCCAACTACTTTAACTTCTTCCTCGTGATGTATTACCTGATCCAGAGCGTTGTTCTTCAACCAACTTAGAGCACTCTGAATTGGCTTTGGTAATGAATGTCCAGTTCTCTGAAGTGACACCGTCAGTGGAACTCCGAACACAGTTTTGTCTGCGAAGAAAAGATGAGGTTTTTTAAAAGAATTTTGTAGAAATAAACTAAAATATAATATAAATAGAAAATTCATAATCCAAAAAATCAACTGAAAGTAAAGAATACGCATATATTATATGGCGATCTCCTTGGCCGAGGGGTTTATACGCCGGGTTTCATAGTGTCGCCGACTGGAGAGGTCCCGGGTTCGAATCCCGGTGGGGGGCAGATGTTTGTGTGATGAATACGAGCATTTGTACTCTAGTCATGCTGCTCTTCTTAAAATACCTGATGAAACTGGCGATCCTTTCTAACAAGATAAATTCCTGTTTTTATAAACATATAAAAAGTTTGTAACTGAACAATCTGCTATAAAATTCACGAGTGCTTAAGAACTTGTAAGGGCAAAATCATTTTACATTTTTCATTTATAAGTGAGAAAGCGATCTTAAGACATTTTTTGGTTCGTGAACTAAAAAATGAAACTGATTTCATCATCATCATCAGCCTATTGATATCCCCACTGCTGGGGCACAGGCCTTCCCTATGTATGGATACTTTATTACTATGGATACTATACTATATACTTTACTTTATTACTTTACTTTATTAAGGATACTTTTTTTATACTGATTTATACTTTCGATATTTAACAATCATGTTATTATCATAAGCAACTCATTTACTCCATTATCCATGAACACCAAGGATGAGCTCACAACAATGCCAAATATCGGGGACTCGCTAAAAACATGGTACACTGTAGCGATCCCGTTAATGACATAAATTACTATAATGTTAGTGTTAAAACAATATCATTAACTATATTTTACACAATATGTTTCTACAAGCCTGCTAATATCGTTTTAGTGTTTTGTCTTATACACTTCTCCAGAGAGATAGCACGCGTTGGAATCTAAGCGAAAGATAATATATAAATAAATATTGCCAACACTCACACCAATTAGCCTAGCCCCAAAGTAAGCACTGTAAGACTTGTGTAACGGATAGAATACACATATTGTACACATATAAGTATATTTATATAGAAATACATATTAAACATCCATGACAAATGCTCGTATTCATCACACAAACATCTGCCCCCACCGGGATTTGAACCGGAGACCTCTCGAGTCGGCGACACCATGACACCCGGCGTATAAACCACTCGGCCACGGTGGTCGTCAAACCTTAATCATCAGCCTATTAATGTCCCCAGTGCTGGGGCACAGGCCTTCCCTATGGATGGAACAGGGGGATTGGGCCATGACCTACCACGCGAGCCCAGTGCGGATTGGTTGGTGCTAACGACTGCAGATGCAGCCGGGACTAACGGCTTAACGTGCCTTCCGAAGCACGGAGGAACTCGAGATAGAGGATTTTTGGTCATTGGATGGGTGAGCAAAAATTACTCGAGATAGTAATTTTCGGTCACCCATCCAATGACCGACCACTGCGAAAGTTGCTTAAGTTCAACGATCGCAGCCGAACGCGCTAACCACTTGCGTCATCGAGCTCCTCGTCAAACCTTATCTCTTATCTATTAGACAAGTCCGTCTGTCTGTCTGTGGTGCTATTTCAGCGGCCAAACCGTAAGAGATAGATAAAGAGAATATTTAAGTTATAAGTTAAGAATACTCTGATAAGACTACAAACCGGATTTGAGTAACGTAGCACTTCCGGTTTTCGAGAAATCAGGTTTTGGTGAACATTTGGTTCACTGGTTTGCTAGTACCTTTGTAGTCGGGCGTCTTGATCTTGCGTATGAGCTTGGGCAGCTCCCAGTTCCATCCGGACTTGTGTGAGGGGCAGTACCGCTCCATGCACGCCGTCAGCCGCAGCAGCGCCAGCTTGCGCAGCACGTGCAGCTGCCCGCACGACAGCGACGACATCGCGCGCGACGCTGTCGAAACAACATCATCACCAGACTAATTAATAGTCATCAGGGGCGGATTATCCTTAAGGCAAACTAGGCATGTGCCTAGAGGCGCGAGGGTACAAAGGGTGCGCGGGCGGAATTGTAAATTAAAGAAAAAATATGTAATCTATCTATTGTATATAAAACTCAAAGGTGACTGACTGACATAGTGATCTATCAACGCACAGCCCAAACCACTGGACGGATCGGGCTGAAATTTGGCATGCAGGTAGATGTTATGACGTAGGCATCCGCTAAGAAAGGATTTTTATCAATTCTAACCCCAAGGGGATAAAATAGGGAATGAAAGTTTGTATGAAACTTTGTCAATTTTAAACCGATCGGACTGAGACTTTCCATGCAGATATAGGAAGAATCATAGATGAATGTCATTGTGTATAATACAAGCCTGAGAACAAAAATTGTAGTCTACACTTCAGCTCTACACCGAAGCGAAGCGAGGGCGGGCCGCTAATATAGCATATAATTAATTGGGCCAGTAAGTAAGTCACCTACTTGCAAAATAAAAACTATTATTTTTGCTTGCAACCTCAATTTGCTACAATTTATAATAAGATTTTAACAGATGGGACTGACTAATACTTATGCCTACAAACAACTTTGTCGATACGATTGCAATGTTCATCGCATCGACCGAATACGTTTCGGTCAAACTATAGTACGAGAAATTTTCAATATAGAGGCGTCGATGAGATGATTGCCTACGGCGCTCTCAACGTTTAAACCGCCACTGAATGTCATTCGTTTAAAATACTATGGTTTTTAGGAAAAAATGATCCTTATGATTAACCCATTCGATGGTTATCATAAAAAAATGGCATATGTTTTTTTTTTCAAATTTCACGAGCTTGATTCTCATTTGTAGCTGTTGATTTAAAAAAAACGACGGGTTGCACTCCGGGAGTGCCGGCAGAAGTGAAAACTTGAATATTAACGTTGTGCATTTTTGATATTTTGGAATGGTTAAGGAATAATTTTGCACGAATTGCTTTAATTATCAGTATAAAAGTATTATCATGTATGTGGTACAATACAATATTTATTTATTGCGCTATCGTACACAAACATGACAATTTATATTACTATGGATTTAGAGATACCACTCTGGATCTTATTGTATCTTATTTGAGTGATAGGGTTCAGAGGGTTGACATCAATGGAGTAAAATCTCCTGGTTCGTCGGTTAAGATGGGAGTTCCGCAGGGCTCAATCCTTGGTCCTTTCTTATTTTTAATTTATATCAATGACTTGCCCTATTTTGTAAAGGATAACCACGAAATAGTATTGTTTGCGGATGACACTTCACTTTTGTTTAAAATTAAACGTAGGGAGTCACAAATTGATGACGTGAACAGGTCTATTTCGAAGGTAGTCCACTGGTTCAATGTTAATAATTTGATGCTAAATGAAGGGAAAACTAAGTGTTTGAAATTTGTATTACCTAATGTGAAACAGGTAAAAACTAATGTAAATATAAAGGATCGACATATGAGCTCTGTAGATACCACAGTGTTCTTAGGAATCACACTAGATTCTAAGCTGCAGTGGGGCCCACATATTGATGGATTGTCGAAGAGACTTAGTTCTGCAGCATATGCTGTAATGAAAATACGGCAGTTAACGGATATAGAAACTGCCAGATTAGTCTACTTTAGTTATTTTCATAGTGTAATGTGTTACGGTATTTTACTGTGGGGAAATGCCGCCGACATTCAAACTATATTTTTGCTGCAGAAGAGGGCTATTCGATCAATTTATAATCTTAAAGTTAAGGATTCATTAAGAGATAAGTTTAAAGAAATAGGTATATTGACAGTTGCATCACAATACATATATGACAATTTAGTATTTGTAAAAAAAAAATATTAATTTGTTTACTAAAAATAGTGAAATACATACATATAATACTAGAAAAAAAATAACTTAACTTTACCTGCTACTAGGCTCCACAAAATCAATAATTCGTTTAGAGGTCTTAGTGTTCGCTTTTACAATAAAGTTCCAAGCAATATTCAAGAGTTAAGCATGACTAAATTTAAATCGACCATTAAAAAATCACTAGTTAAGAAAGCATATTATAAAGTGTCTGATTATATTACAGACAAAAATGCTTGGGTATGAACTGTTCCAACCATTCCAACGGGTATTTCTATATGATTTAAATTATGAATTATGTGTTGACAATACTATAATAAAACTGAAAGCTGTATATAAAGTTAATAACTTAAGTACGATTACCAGACTGTTTAAGAATATTTGATTGACAAAACGGCGTGATCATGATTTCTCCTTTGCTTTGTTTTGTAATTGTTTGTTGTGTCTTACAGGTAAATGACCTTAATTTAAGTAAATATGTTGTAGTTAGTATGGGTAGTTATGGGTAGTCATGCTCTCATAATAGTCTCTTCGGCGGTGTCGTGTGAGGCGGGTCGTTACGTTCCCTAAAATATGGTTGAGCGAAGCGATGGCTGGTTCATGCGTCATGCTCGTGAACGGGTGCTGCCAGCGGAGATGAGTCTGCCCTAACTTCCTTAATATTGAAGTTAATGTTTAGTCACACTGAATATAAATAACACTATTTGTATTTATACTGTATGACGCAGCAATCAAAATGCAGGTAAACAATTAATGTATATTTAATAATTATGTAATGAAAAGTGACTTCATGAATCACCTCTGAAGTCATTTTTCAATTTGACGACTCTGTAAATAATAAAACAGGGAGAAAAAAACAGCCCTTGCTGAGTTTCTTGCCGGTTCTTCTCAGTACAAGGTCTCCCGGCGTAGATTTACGATGGCGTAGCTTCTAGACATTCATATGTGCTTGTAACAGCCTAAACTGAATAAATGATTTTGATTATGATTATTATGATTATGATTATCATTACATTAAAAAAGTTTATCTCTCAGAAAAATCAACTTACATGAATCACATTTAAGCGCACCTAGCGACATCTATTGTAAAAAAAATCATTTTCTTTGCAATAAAGCTGCCACGTGGACGTCCTAGATAGAGACTTATTATTATAATACGGTAAAATAAAATATTACTATGTTTCGTCCAATATATTGAAAGTCAATAACCTTTCTAATTTTATTGTGTGTCATGATGTGATCAACCCACATGTTTAACCTGACGCGAGTTTAACATTTTTTATCCATACAAAAAAAAGTGTACAACTCCGCTAAAGAAGTTTTCACTCCAAAAAAACTGTGTATGCAGTTCTAGTTAATATTAAAAATGAAGTGATGTTTCCTTTCCGTCCGTCCGACAAACCCGTGGGACGCTCTGTTTATTATTTATTCATTTATATGCTTTCATGTAGTACAAATTTACACGCGGATTAATTTATATACACTTCTGAACACATCTATCGGCTCACCTATCATTTTAATTTTTGGCGGTCCCTAGCTAAAAATAAATGTCACAATGAGCAAAAGTCTACCTAGGCAGTTTAGAAGGTGATATTTCACAACATCTTATCGTGTGTGTTTTAAAATTATTGCTCAATATACATATATGTTTACTATATATCGTCATTGTCAGCCTATTAATGTCCCCGCTGTTGGGGCACAGGCCTTCCTTCCTTCCTTATGGATGAAAAAGGGAGATTGGGCCATGACCCACCACACGCGGGCCCCTGTGCGGATTGGCGGGTGTTAACGACTGCAGATACAGCCGGGACCAACGGCTGAACGTGCCTCCTGAAGCACGAAGAAACTCGAGATAGAGGATTTTTGGTCACCCATCTAATGACCGACCACTACGAAAGTTGCTTAACTCCAACGATCGCAGCCGAATGCATTAACCAGCTGCGCCAAGAAGCTCCTCAATAGTTCTTTGCTTTTCTAATAAAAGTTTTGTTTCGATTTATAGATCTAGCAGTTAAATGTTTAAAAATACAACGATCTTAAGGTATATATACTTGTCGATCGGGTTATATACATAACATTAGTGGCTAACGGAATTACAAATTATGCCTATTATAAAATGGTTATCTCTCTCTTCTCTCTCTCTCTCTCATTACAATCAAATGCGAAATTTATAGGATGACCATTTTTCAATTTTTAATAATTACCACACAAAACTTTTTTATATAGCGGTCCCATTTTTTGAATGCAAAAGAAATTTTTTTTTAATGACCAATTTAGTAGTTCTGTAGACATTTCTGATGAAAGCTAAATTTAACTGTCTGCTATCAATGTCAATGTGAGAGAGAGCTTCTTCAGCTTCTTCATTATATAAAAAGTGAACATAACTTCTTGAGTTCTACATTGTATCAAGTAATATTTACTAATAACTTACTGTATGCCTCAGGATCCTTCTGGTTAGGTGCTGTAGGTTGAAGAGTGTTGTTTGCTTTAGGTCCACCATTGAGAGCGCTCGTTCTGAACGAGTACCACCTTTGGATGTTGTTTCTGAAAAATTACCAAAATTTAACCTTAGATACGCATTTTTAGTGGACGCAATGATATTTAAACATATACGATCTTCTCCTTTTTTTTTAATTCAAATTACCACCATCATAGGAAGCATAGTAAAATATAATTAACCTTTTGTGGTGTCCTTTAGGTACTGGACAACAATATAATGACATCAGGCTTAATTTATTAATGCCACAGTAAGTTGACTAATATTGCTAACGACAATATATTGACCTTACAGTGGATTAAAGGACACAGCGGCTCAAGGGGTAACGATGCGGCGGACTGCTTAGCCAGGGAAGGTTCTAGCAGGACGGCCATTGGTCCGGAGCCTATTGTACCCATACCCTATCGACAGCTGCGAACCTGGATAAGGGAACGCTCTCAACGACAACACGACGAATACTGGTCAAAACTCACGGACTGCAGGCAAGCTAGGGAAGCCGTTCCTAAGGTAAACCTGCAGCTAACACGTAAGTTCATCAGACTACCTACACAAGCCCTAAAACAAATCGTGGGTATACTCACGGGTCACGGCTACTTCAACAAACACCTCTGTAATTTAGGTATTTCTGATGGCCCTCTGTGCAGAGCCTGCCTGGAGGAGAATGAGACGAGCGCCCATGTCCTACTGGAATGCAGGGGCGTTGCGAGACAAAGGACTTCTCTAATGGGAAGCCCGAAGTCAATAGTAGAGGCCTGCAGCAACATTCGGGGACTCCTGAGCTTTCTGGAGGAGCTGGGATGGCAGGACTGATGCCAATCCCCACGCAAAATAGGCACTGGGTGTCGAGTTGCGGAAACAGCCCGCCGTACTACTATGACTAAAACTAAGACCTTTTGTGGTGTTCTGTTTCCGTCGGTGGGTAATGTTTCCAGAGCTCCAGGTGAGGAAACAGTCATGGTAAGCACGAATGATACTCTGGTATCGCAACTATCCATGGGCTGGGCGAATTGAATGGTTCTAGCATCATCGTCATCATCAGCCTATTAATGTTCCCAATGTGTGCCTGCTGGGGCACAGGCCTTCCCAATGCATGGAATAGGGAGATAGGGCCATGACCCACCACGCGGGCCCAGTGGGGATAACGACTTAACGTGCCTTCGAAGCACGGAGAAACTCGATATAGAAGATGCTTAACTTCAACGATCGCAGCTGAACGCGCTAACTACCTGCGCCATCGAGCTCTTCAATGGTTCTGTACCTAAATTTTATTTCGCTTTTAATGTGTAGACATGAAGGCACTGCGGTAACGAAGAGATAAATAATTGATTCTTACTTCTTAGTTTTCATATCCAGACTGTCGTCGTCATCATCTTGGTCTCCGTCATGGGATCGGGAGCCAGCCGAGTGAGGACTCCCCTCTAATTCGGAGCTCCTCGATGCAGACTTGTCTCTTTTCAGGCTTCTATCTCGCAATCTGAGAACACAACATTTTGTTAAATTTTAAATAAATTTATATATTTCCGAAACTCACACCAATTAGCCTAGCCCAAAAGTAAGCACTATAAGGCTTGTGTTATGGGATGCCAGGGTAACGGATAGAATACATATACCTTACATATATAAGTATATTTATATAAATACATATTAAACATCCATGACAGGAGTACAAATGCTCATATTCATCACACAAACATCTGCCCCCAGCGGGATTCGAACCCGGGACCTCTCGAGTTGGCGACAGCCATGAAACCCGCCGTACAAACCAATAGGCCACGGAGGTCGTCAAAGTCAAAATCGTCAAAGTCTTTGTTAAAAAAGAAGTTCTCCGGCATCGGTTGCACTTGCAAATACATCTGGACAGATCAAGAAATTTTAATGACGCACTTTGAATAGTAACATTACAATTGAGAGAAGTAAATATGATCGTAAAACTTAGTTATAATAATAATAATAAGTAATAAAATCATTTATTGCAGGTAGCTAAGACTCATATTTAAAACATGATACAATATAAAACTAATTAAAAAATACAAAACTAATTAAAAATACATTTACATTGTCATAATACAAAGTCAATCTTCTATTTGCGATTCCCATCCGTGTGCACAGATAGCCAATATCTATAAATTGGATTGTTAAAATCCGCGTACAAACATTTTAGTATGCGGTTACCAGAGCAACGCAGTCCCTCCCAAAAAGAAGCTATGTGCGTCCTAATAACAGCATAGAAGTCCGATACCCCAGCCTCCACGAACATTGTAGAAGTAGTGTTGCCCAAATTTAGTCTTGGTCTTGCTGTCTTGGTCTTGTTCTTGCATTTTTGCAAGAACAAGACCAAGACTGGCTTAGTCTCGTCTTGTTCTTGCATTTGGGCAACACTATGTAGAAGCACTGCAAAATCTCGACAGACCCATCAGAATACAAAAAATATCATTATATTCAACTCTGATGGTACTATACGACCTCCTGCTGTACCTTATCCACAGTTGACTGGTGTAGAAACTGACACAATAGGCATTGAACAGCGTCAATTTTACCTGCCTGCTACACCGACTAATGGTAGCCATACACACTACGAGAAATCGTTACGATCAGACTGTACAGTTCGAACGGAACAGTTTATCGTACGTGGCGTACGTATAGGAAACTGTGCAGTTTTATAACATACACGCTACGAGTTATCGGTACCGTTCGGACGGTACAGTCTTATCGTAACGATTTCTCATAGTATGTATGGCTACCATAAGCAAATTCAAATTCAAATGATTTATTGTGAAATGTAGGTTAGTACAGCAATTTGGTGTAAGGTAAAAAGTTTAGTGTCACTACATTTCGACCTTATTACAAGGTATACAATATTTTTTAAGTAATAAGCAGATTTACAATTATAATAAATAATAAGCCTACGATATATACGACTTATAAAGATACTGATGTCGATTCTGGCATGATTCTCTAAACTTAAAACTAAATTTAACATTGGGTTCTCCTTTTTATTCTGTACTAGCAAACCAGATTTATGTAACATTTCGTTTTGTGATTAAAAGAAAACGATTTTTTTTTAATTTTTCCTGAATTTTCTTTGCTATAAACCTCACGGAGCCCGAGACCTTTCCAACGAATGCAAAACCGTGGAAATCGGTTCGTGCGTTCTGGAGTTATAGCGTCAGGAAGGAAAACCCGACTTATTTTTATATAGTAGATAAAGAACGACAAGGATAGACTGTTGTCAAATTTAAATTTAGGTTTAGAGAATCATGTCAGAATCGACACCATTATAATGAAAAAACAGTTTAAAACAACACTCCACTAACTCATGATGATAAAAACAGCTGTACCACTGCACGTCTTTATCTGAATTCTCTAGCTTGACCATCTCAATAAATTGGTGTAGTCCACGTCACTTCTCTTCGTCAATAGCACTGGTATTCTTTTTAAGGACGTGAACAAAAAGTTTGTTCATAATGTTCACTCCAATAAGGTCACTCTTTCAATAACGAGTCACTTCTAAAATCGGCGCTCGCGCATTATTGAGGCATTAGCATAAGAAATAAGAATTTTCAACGCATTAACAATTGTTATTATCAGGTTACACTGGTTTGGGGCTAATGTAGGCTGGTTTGCGGTAATTAGTATTGAATGAGAGAGACGCTTTCAAAAAGTACTATGTTGGCGCTAAAAGGAAGTGACCATAATGACATTTTTATTCTGACTAAGAACATGCAAAAAAGTTTTATGGTTGGTTGGTGGTTTTTTGCAACATTCTTTGTATTATGGCTTAGAAAATATTATTTAAATGTTTTCACCAACTGTGTCTGATAGCAATTCCAAAATTTTACAAAGAGCAAGATAGAAGCAAAATTTCCTACTAGTATCATCATCATCATCATCAGCCTATTAATGTCAGGCCTTCCCTATGGATGGAATAGGGAGATTGGGCCATGACCCACAACGCGGGCCCAGTGCGGATTGGCGGGTGCTAACGACTGCAGATGCAGCCGGGACCAACGGCTTAACGTGCCTTCCGAAGCACGGAGGTGCTCGAGATAGTAAATTTTTGGTCACCCATCCAATGACTGACCACTGCGAAAGTTACTTAACTTCAACGATCGCAGCCGAAAGCGCCAAACTAGACTATCACTAGAATATATTTATTTATTTACTCTTTATTGTTTTTCAGCAAATGGCTGACTTAATGCTACATGGCATTCTCTACCAATCAACCCCCGTCGGGCTAAGCAGAGACATTATGCGGTTAAGAAAATAAAAGCATAAAAGTAAAAAGAGATAGAAAAAAAATGATAAAACATCTATAAATATACCTACACGACAACATATAAATATACATACATATTAATATATACAATAAATACCTTCACATATACAATAATAAATACCACTATACTTACTTAAGAATACTACCTAATTAAAAATCCCTACCAAAATTTTATTTCGCTTCTAATGTGTCGGATGAAAGCACTGCGGTAACGAAGAAATAAATAAATTGATTCTTACTTCTTAGTTTTCATATACAGACTGTTGTCATAAAATAATCTATACTTATAATAAATCTGTAGAGATGTTAATTCTGTACATGAAATATATTTTTAAAATAACTATCAGGGGGTGATTAGTGATCGATACTGATGTCAAAAATGCAATCAGTAAAATTTTTGTCTGTCTGTCTGTGTGTATGTTCCTTATAGAAACAAAAACTACTCAACGGATTTTAACGAAACTTGGTACGATTATTCTTCATACTCCTGGGCAGGTTATAGTATACTTTTCATCACGCTACAATCTATAGCAGCAGAGTAGTGAAGGGAAATGTTGGGAAAACGGGAGAAGTTACTCCATTTTTTAAGCTTCCGTCGCGGGTGCAGCCTTAATGGTTAAAGTTACATAGAAATCATGTATCACGGAAATATTCTACATAAAATTGTCTAAAAAATATCCCGCAACAGCTTATGTCTATCTTTTATGGTTGACTCACAATAACACGTGTAATTATATAAATAAAGTCATTCTTTATAGCACAAGCCTGAGAACAAAAACTATAGTTTACACTACAGCTCTACACCGAAGCGAAGCGAGGGCGGGCCACTAGTACCTAATAAAACAATCATAAGTAACAACAGACAGTTGATTGATATATTATTATAGTTTGACCCAGCTCCTGTGAATGTTAAGCTGCTATTAGAGTTGCCAAGATTGAATTACACATGCAGATCCACTAGTCCCAACAGATTAAGTTGCTCGAACTTCGCACAACTTGCTAAGTGTACGTAGTCGACAACTTAATTCCCGAGACTCTACAACTGTTTCAAGTAATTGGAACTGACACTTAAGTAAGTACGCTAACTAAGTTTTGCTCCCTTTGTAGGTAAATGAAACAGGAGTCGAAAGCAAACTGTTCCATTATTGAAATGCTATTGAAGATAATTTTACACATAAGTACCTAATTAATTTACATTTCCACTACGCGAATCAAACAATCGTTACCAAATGACAGAGTGGCTATAATAGAACGTACAAATACAAACTTTGCTCGAAACCAAAGTCCACATCTTTCACCTACGAGTATCTCTTATCTATTAGACAAGTCCGTCCGTCCGTCTGTCTGTGGTGCTGTTTCAGCGGCCAAACCGTAAAAGATAGATAAAGAGAATATTTAAGTTATAAGTTAAGAATAGTCTGATAAGACTACAAACCGGATTAGAGTAACGTAGCGCTTCCGGTTTTCGAGAAATCACGAATTTCAAAAGAAAACAAAAAAAATCACCGAAGTTCTCAATTAATTAAATACATTTTTTTTTTAATTGGTGAACATTTGGTTCACTGGTTTGCTAGTCATCTATAATCGCATTAACAAGATTCTTAGTGTCTACCCGCTAACCTACCGTGAATGCAAAAACAAGCTAAAGGCATGGCTGAAGACTTTAGACTATGACAAAACAGAGAGTTTATTGAAATTTTGACGTATAATAACTAATTTTTTATATAGTTATATATAAATATAAATCTATGTAAAGAAAAAACAATTTTATATTAAAAAACCTACAAAATACAGTACGAATATATATGTCTTATATGCGCACGTGTGTCGTATATATGCCTTATATGCACACACACACACACACTCACGTGCACACACACTCACACACACACACACATACACACACAGACAGACACACACACACACACACACACACACACACACACACACACACACACACACACACACACACACAATACACACACACAGAGAGACAGGCACACACACACACACGCACACAAGACACACACATACACATAACTTTAACTAGCTCTGTGAAAATGAATGACCTTACCATAATGTAACTCATGCTATGGAAGAGTGGTTCTTTTTGGTACAGGTGTCTTACACTTAAAAAAAAGAGCCTACCTTTATCTATGTTACCAAATGTATGGTAAAGAAATAAAACAATTTTAATTTATTTTTTTAATTAAAAAAAAACTCTTTCTTTCTTGATCCGTTCAAATGGTTCACTCAACACGATGAAAGAACACTATTACTTATCATAATAATTAACAGTTGTAGAAGAATATTTAAAAAATTATGTGCAGATTGTAATGATCAAATTGCTGCAATTATGTGCCGTGGAAAATATTTTATAATTAAAGGTCAAATCTGATTACTGATCTGTTCTTTAATTATAATAGTTTGGGACGCTTTAATTACTACTCCAACACTAATATGTATCTTACAAGTTCTTTTTATAATATTTAAGAAATCATAATTATGTTTCGTCGAGAGGATGATTGATTGAGGAGATGGACTGACGACATCGTCAAATGTGCTGGGAGCCGCTGGATGCGGATAGCGCAGGACCGCGCATTGTGGCGTTCTATGGGGAGGCCTATGTCCAGCAGTGGACGGAGAAAGGCTGATGGATGGATGGATGGATGGAGAGGATGACACAGGTACGTAGGTAAAATAGCAAAAACCATTTTAGTGAAATAATCTAAATATCTCGGTAGGAGAAATCGGAGTAACCTCTACAAAATATTAACATCGAAATGCAAGCGGCAACGCCTAAAACTAAATAAATGAGTATTTACTATTAGTATAGCGTCTGTCTGTGAGACACTTAATATTGAATGTATTTCGTCAATGGCTGTCTTTCATGCAAGATTGTTAAACCTATTCCCTTACACTGTTACTCCTATCCTTTAAACCTTTTATTTATTTTCTGTTTCGTTTCCTTTCCTCTCCTCTTCTTCTTTCGCCTCTCACATTTATTAAACCATCCTCTCCTCTCCCTGTCGTTCCCACCCATTCGACCTCCCTGGCTGCATCTCGAGCGACCTCGGATTCTGATGGGGCTACTCTACCAACTACCGAATCCTCTACATCACAATGATGTTATATTCATCAACTTAAAATGTAATAAATAAATAAGTGTTTAAAAAAATGTACTCTTACTTTTGGCCGTCCTTCCCGAGGTTTAGAGAGCTTGTTCTTATGGCTTGACGTCGGTGCGCCGTGTGACCGGGCGACTTTTGAACCTCTCTCAAGATTTCGGGATCTGGTTTTAGTTCCACTGGTGAAGGAGGTCCTACGTATACCTGAAAATTTTAAGCCTTAAATAGAGATGTTTTTTTTAACATACCTCTACAATTTTGACAATTTATTGTTTATTATACATAAAAATCTTTCAAGACAAGCACGGTTTTAACCTATGTATATGACCGCGTAAAAAATACATCCATACTTACTTCTGTATTATGATGAGTATTATGATCCCTATAATAATTATGTCTCCAACTAGCAGGTTGGCATTCCGAGTCACTTAACGCGCTATCGTCATTTTTGACTCCTCTATGAAAGATCCTCTTCGCGCGTCCTAATTTAGATTTTGAGCTTTTGTTACTCGACCCCATACTGCCGTCAGATGCATAACTTGAGTCGTCACCGAACGGAGCATTTAAGATGAAGGATTGTTCTATAGAGGCTATAGGAGCAATAGGTGATGGTGGCATTATTGTCATTGGAGATGGAGGCTGTGTTCTGATGGCGGGCGCGTGAGCGGGAGAATTGTTAAAATCTGGAAACGGGAAGGCTGTCGGTGTGGTGGGAGTCATATCTATATAATTCAAATCTGGATATTTATCTGTTTGGACGTCTAAGAAATGCGGTGAGGAAACTATGACTTCTGTACGGTTTTGTCGTTTTCTTCTTCTAGTTTTGAGGGATTCCACTCTTCGGAGAAGGGCTTTGGCACCGTCTCGCAGTCTTTCGGAACCGGTTCGCCTGAAGCGAGTGCCTGTGTCTTCCTCATCTTCTTTGTCGCTTGGTAACTGGATCATAGGTTGGCCGGGAATCGTTAACCTGTGAACAATAAATTTACCAACATGAAAATATGATAAATGAACTCAGTACTCTAAAATAAATGAACGAAAACTTGCTATTCATAGTTAGAATAGCTCTTTCAAAATGATACACTTTGGTGATTAAGGGGCATTCTCAATTTACTATTAAGGGCCTAACAAGCATAAAGATTATTTTATTACAACGGTTACCCGTTAGCCAATAGTTATCACAACTTCGCAACTTAGGATAGCGAAGTAGCAAGTTTGAAATAACTCGAAAACTTAATCAAGAAACTATTACTTTGTTATATTTCACAAAGGAGTCAGTTTGAGTACCTAAGCTAAGTTAGCTTAGGTCGAATAATGATGCTTCGGTTGAGTCTCTACCGACTTAAAGTAAGGATGATAAAAAAATAAATAAAAACATTTAATTAAGAGACATACATTTAATCAAAGAATGGACTAATAATGTAATAAATAAAATATTAAAAGAGCTCAGAAACCTATATCACTCCACCCACGACATTGTCTCCTAAATTATTTTCAATAGACAACTTCATAGATAAATTGTCTAATGTCTAACTATCGTGTGAATCTTGTGTACATTAGAATAACTATTAATGAATAATATCGCTTCGTTTTCAGATTAAATTATATCGGCTTAGACTATAGTATAATGCAAAGAAAAATAATTACAGCTCGTTATGATTGTTTATCCCTGCTACTATAGTGTACAAAATAATATTCGTAATTGGAAACATATTATTGAGAACACTAAGGCCGCTACAAAATCTTGTCTATTGATCATTGATAACTCACTGTTCACTACACATTTATCGTTAAAGCGAATTAGTTTACGGGCCATAAAGTCGGCATATGTTTACATCTTTTCGAGTGCATCGCAGCCGTAAACCGGTAACCACCATCTAAAACGTCAGGTGGCGATCATAAGTCTACAAAGTAACACTCAAAGCACGTGGAGTTAGTGAACTCATAAATATTATACCGAGAAGTGAGGTACTTTAGAACACTGTCAACAACGATGAATCGACTACCGATCGAGTTGATTTATTTATAAAGGCACAATAAAAGGCACCAGTCAAAATCTATATATATATAAAACTCAAAGGTGACTGACTAACGTAGTGATCTATCAACGCACAGCCCAAACCACAGGACCGATCGGGCTGAAATTCGGCATGCAGGTAGATGTTATGACGTAGGCACCCGCTAAGAAAAGAATTTGATCAATTTTACCCCCAAGGGGATAAAATAGGGAATGAAAGTTTGTATGAAACTTTGCCAATTTTAAACCAATCGGGCTGCGACTTTGCATGCAGGTATAAGAAGAATCATAGATGAATGTCATTGTGTATAATACAACCCTGAGAACAAAAACTGTAGTCTACACTTCAGCTCTACACCGAATCGAAGCGAGGGCGGGCCGCTAGTAAACTATATGAAAAGAACTGTGGGCATGCCTATGCTCAATTTGACAACCTCCGTGGCCATGGTTTGTACGGCGGGTTTCAAGGTGTCGTCTACTCGAGAGGTCCCGGGTTTTAATCCGGGTGGGGGCAGATGTTTGTGTGGAGAGTACTCCAGTCATGGAGGTATAATTATGTTTCTATATAATTATACTAATATATGTATCAGTTACCCTAGTATCCCTACCATAAAACAAGCCTACAGTGCTTACGTTGGGGCTAGGCTAATAGGGGTGATGACGGGTACAGTAAACGAAATTCTATTTAGTCCGTCAGTTAGATGATCAAAAAATAATGGACACGTATTTTGTCTTTGGGTAATCAACCAAAAATGACAAAGTTATAGCGCGTCAAAGTTTGGGAGTAGGGGCTCGTGACGTCACTTTTAAGTGAAAATTGTACCAAAACGTGACGTCATGCGACTTTTCAAATCAATATATCTCTGCAATGTTTATATTATGTGAAAAAAGGAAAAATACGTGTCCAATACTTTTTGATAATCTCCCTGATTAACGAAGAAAAAAAATAGTCATCATCCCTATTGCTGTATTTAAAACATCATATACATAATTATGTAAACAGACATTGAATAAATATTAAACTATCTTAAAAAAAGAACTATGTTAAATAAGGTATACAATTATGATTAAAATACACAAACAAAAATGCCCCAATTTAATATAGGCATCACAGCTACCCAGAGAGGGGAAAAACTTACTTTTATAATTTTTTATGTTCAGCATATGAAATGAAATGAAATGTCATTTATTCAGTCTAGGCTGTTACAAGCACTTGTGAAGGTCAAGAAGCTACGCCATCGGTTCGCAAAACTACGGCGGGAGACCTTGTACTGAGAAGAACCGGCAAGAAACTCAGTAAGGGCTGTTTTTTTCTCCCTGTATTGTTATATACAGTGTCGTCAAGTTGAAAAATTACTTCAGAAATACGTCTGAAGTCACTTTTAGCTTTAGCTTTAGCAAAGAATTCTCAAAAGAAAATATGTTGACATATGTCATGATCAGGAGCTCTATTTTTGAATCACTCGTCTTGCGTCGAACGCTCGATTTCTACTAAATTTCATTCGACATAATTAATTCCGTACGTTGGAAGCGCTCGAGTGCAACGAATGGGTGAGACCACTCGCTGCATGGCGAATGGTAGAGGCAAATGATAGAATAATTGTGTCGTATAGTATCAAAGGTGGCAAAGTAGGGAAAATCAAATATTTGGCCAATCAAAAAAAACTGTTCAGTCTCGTCTTTAAGGGAGGATAAAATATTGACATTTCACTACGATTTGTAGTTATGATTAATGTCAATTATAAAAATCCTCCCTTAAAGACGAGACTAAACAGTTTTTTTTGATTTGCCAAATATTTGGTTCGCCCTACTTTGCCGCCTTTGATACTATACGACTCAATTGTCAAATTTTTTGTGCTATTAGATGACGATAATCTGTCATTGTCATGCTTTATATGAAACGACAACGAGAATTTTTCGTTCGGTTTTCATTGCGGTAATTACCGGTTTTTATTTTTACTGCGTGAAATGAGTAAAATTTCATATTTCGTATTAAACAGGTAACACCGGTGACGAGTGATTCAAAAATACGGAAAATCAGTATTAAGCGACTTGGAAGTCGAAGGTGACTTATGTCGCATTCGACGATACTATGTTTTTTTTTTTATGTTATAGGGGGCATACGAGCAGACGGCTCACCTGATGGTAAGTGATCACCGCCGCCCATGGACACTTGCAACACCAGGAGTATCACAAATGCGATGCCGGCCTTTAAGGAAGGAGTACGCTCTTTTTTCGAAGGTTTTTGGGTCGTATCGGTCCGAAAACACTGCTGGCGACAACATATTCCACAGTTTTGTCGTACGTGGTAAAAAATTTCGACAAAAACGCACGCTTGTGGATAGCCACGCATCAAGATGATGGGGATGAAATTTTCAGACGAGTGATTCAAAAATAGAGCTCCAGAGCTAATATGTTGAGTTGAGTTTATTCCAAAGCAGTCACTTGTTTGCGTTCTTTGTTCATAAATAACAGTTATTTCTGTTATTCGGTTATAATTACCTATTTAGAATTTCTCCAAAGAAGATCTATATTTAGATTATTAAAGTGATAATGCTTATTCAAACGTTACTTTTGCACACTTTAATGGAAATATTAGGTATATTTGACTTTTGTCAAATAAAAAGTAAATAAGGTACCTAGCTATAGCTTTCTTATAATTTAATTATTCTTCACCGTTATACACCGTAAATTTTGTGTTACCCGAGAAAAATAAAAAACGTGTAAATAAAACTTGCAGAAAAAAAAATCCACGCGGACCAGGCAGCGGACGGGACTCGAACCCGCATCCTTCGCTATCCGGGCGAATGCACTGACCATTATGCTACCACGGCCCTATTAGCCGCGTCGAAATTTTCCTAGCCTTAAGCTGCAAGGCAGCGCCATCTCTTCGCATTGTAGGTAACCCACAATGTCAAATGAATATTTTTTCAACTTACTTTTTAACTTTACTTTTTTTTTCTAGTAAACTTTTCTTTAGATATAAACATCTAGCAGTTAAATGCTTAAAAAATAAATAAAATCAAAACCTGTAGACTTACTATACATTCATACAAAAATATTGATTAATACCGTTTACAAATATATTCTAAAACGGCGCAAATTTGTAAATAGCACACAAATTATGGAATTATTATCCGTTTAAAGTCCGTAGATTTTCTTCTTCTTCCTACAACGAGCTTTTCCGCTACGTTTTTCCGTTTACGTAGATCTTTAAAGTTTTTTTTTTTATATATATATTATAGGGGGCATACGAGCAGACGGCTCACCTGATGGTAAGTGATCACCGTCGCCCATGGACACAAATTAAATTGTTAATATTTCATACTAGTGAGTTGAAGTGGAGTCATTTTTCGAAAAAAAAAAGAAATAAATTGCTTTATATTATTACCTAAATCGTTGTCTGAATTTGGATCTGTAACGATTTTAGTCGAGAATGTCGATTTATAGAGCTAAGGATTCCATAAAATGAAGTGGTTAAATTTTTGATCTACGACAAATATTGACAAGTTATGACCAATTTACTAATCGATTTTTCGGTTGGCCATGTGGCTACTGTGACGTCACAGAGTTCTAGCGCTATTGGTTAATATTGGCTACCATAAAATTAGTTATTAAATCGCAACGAATGAACCGATTTCGATGATTTAAAAAGTATATTAATTAAAAAGCTTATTAGATCATAATAATTTTGATTATGAGTTGATTTGCTGACCTAGTAATGAACCTCATTAGCCATTAAAGTTTGTCAGGTAAATTAAAATTCGCAGTGTAAAGGTATATATAATAAAATAAGAGTGAACTTTAAATAGATTTTTCTGAGATTGCCGCTAAGCTTGTTACGAGAAGCTTTTAGTTTATTTTAAGGAAGCCAGGAAGTCGATATGTTAGTTTAGGGCGTGTTGCTTCAGGCAACATCTTGTGGACTTAACACAGGTCAATTTCGTTCCACA